CAGTAGATTTTGTGTTTTTAATACACTAATGTACACACTAAAAAAATGCGCTAATTGTGCCTAGCGGCCAGACGAAGGGATAAGAACCTTGGAAGCCCAGCTCGCTCCTTGTTCTGTGATTGGTTCAGAAGACCAGGACCTTTGTTCTCGGTATGCCGAGGTCCTTGGCCGGCTCCTGTCCAGCCACTAGCCTCCAAAAAAAAAAAAAAAAAAAAAAAAAAAAAAAAAAAAGGAAACGAGGAAGCAATGGGCCCGTCCCTTTTCATATCACCATCTGCTTGCATATTCCATTCATCCCCCTGGTTCTTTGCAGGGGACTGCTCTTGTCGGCAATCGTTTCCCGGGCTCTCGAATTTACCTGCATTTGGCACGGCCAGGGATAGAATAAGAAAATGGGAACTCTACTGCACATATATATATACGTAGAGCATCTTGTTTGCTCGTTGCTTTTGCGGCAGGGAAAGGTGAGATAGGCTTGAAAAACTGGCCCAAAAGCACCGTTGAAAAATCGGACTAGATAAACACTAGTACTAGTAACTACACCCCAGCCCGATATGGCTGCAGCATGATGTTGGAGAAGTTCGATTCGACGCCGTTGGAAGTCAATGACAGAATGTTGTTGAGTGGCGTAAAGATGAATTGGCGAGGTATTGTTGAATATGGAGTTTAAGAAGAGTTACCGGCAACAAGGGTGGAGTGGTTGTATTCCCGTGTCCAAACGAAGGTGTTGTTGAAGGACGAGATGATGGCTTTGGATCTTGTTGTGTTGGACACAAAAGGGGGAAGAGATGGTGAGTAACTATGTGACTTTTATTTTTTATTTTTAGCAAAGGAACGTGTTGTACTAGAGTATATATAGTTATCGAGGGATATGTATAGAGGTTTAGGTGTACATGGTCGATTTTTTAAGTTTCTAGGGGGCAACTGATCAGTTGCGGTTGTCGCAAAATGACTGCGATTCCTGTCCCCTCCTTGTAAGGAACGACTGAATCCGCTGCTCAGCCAACCGGGAAAAGATGTATTGATTCCTTAAGATTAGGAGACATATTATTCTGAGAAGAAGTAGATCAGTTGATGGTTTTATAAATTAGTGATCGTGATACGCTAATCTTGATATAGAGTTATGAAATACATTATCGACGGGTTATGCGGAAGGGGGACCAGTAAAAATATATGCGGGAACAAGAGAGGATGGGGATGGTTTTATAACATGGTGTATCTTGATAATGCTATGTAAAAGGACACTAACACCAACTCCTATGAAAAAAAACTTGACGGTTTGGTGCTTCTTTAATGCTGCTTGCCTTGCATGGCTAAAATATACAGATCCTAACCACCTCATCGATGAAGCTGCAGTTATCACTGCCCTGGTTATGAGATGGCAGCCAACTTCTGAAGACAGGAAAGAACACCTGTACCTCGAATTGTTAGCAACAGTCCACTTTATTCCATCTTGAATTGTTCCAAAGTACAACATACCAGTCACTCCTTGTGTCAGCGTTGCCGCTGCCTCTGTATTCTTCGACCCTAGTGTGACGGTTAAGGTGTTTTTGATTCTCTTTTGCCGTCCCACTTCATTCGCCCAGCGGAAGATAACCTCGTCTTCCCGACCATCGCCAACTACAAAGAGGAAATCCGGTCCCTGGTTGTTAGAAGCCCGGGCGGATTTCTGAATACCATCGAGAACTAGACACGCAGCAGTAGCCTTGTTCGGGGCAATGGGCTCGACAATTAGAGCATCCTGGTCCACGACGGCATGCACCTGATGATTAGCGCAGGTGTCATTGATATGGTTGGCGCATTCAGAGGCATGTCGCTCGGCTGTTTGGGGGTCCTCAGCGTGTGCAAAATGGAATACTAGAGAGGAGTGCATGTGTTCGACCCAACTGCCTTCGGTACGTTCCTGGAAATAACGAATCATGTCCGCGACTCCATCCTTCCACGCAGTAGTTTTCTCGTCGCTCACAAGCTTAATCCAATCTTCTACATGCGCTTCCCGAACGTAACATCCATTTTCTGCAATTAGACCTAGACCTCCAACACGAGCGAAAAGTCGTTCCATTTCCTCGGGCATTCTGGAACTCATCACGTAGACTATATTTTTGGGATTCTCGATCAGGTCATTCAATGTATCAATGGCGCGTTTCGGTGTGGTTAACACGATACTGGTTGGCGAACCCCAGGATGCCAGGGTGCCCTCATAGTCGAGGATGAACAGTCGACTAGAAGACTCTTTATATTTAGCTGAAAGATCACTGACTGACAGTCGAGGTATAGACACATTATCCCGTAAGGATTGTTCGCTATAAGCTTTCGAGAGGGCCTCGACAAATTCTTCGAACCAATTTACAGTCGTGTGTTTCATTATTGTGTCATTTAATTTCGTCCAGTTGCGCTCCTTCTGTTCAGGAGTCAATTGGAGGGACGTATTCAAAGCCTCCGCGCACTGCCTGTAGTTCCAGGGATTGACAAGCAACGTGTGTCCATCGAAGAGGGAGGCACTCCCCGTGAATTCGCTGAGAATTAGAGAACCATGTTTTTTGTTCGAATATTTGCCGTCTTGGCAGTGGATATATTCATGACTTGTAAGGTTCATACCTTCGCGAAGGCTTGTGACCATTAAAACGTCAGCCATGGTGATTAAAGCAAGGTACTGAGGGAAGCTGATATCTTGCTTCAAAAAGATTAGAGGTTGATGTGCTAAACTGAAGTTAGCAGAGTTCACTCGCGTAACGATATCCGATACAGTCGCATCGGGCTCAGATTGGTCGGTGCATGGTAAAGCGACTTGAATTAAAACCACCTAAATCAGGACAATTAATGGTAGTTCATAATACGCACGAAACGCATTTAATTTCGTACCTTGTCTTGCCACTGAGGGTATTTTCGCAAGAAAAGTTCGTACGTGAGCAGTTTCTGCCTGACACCTCGAATGTTATCCAGCTTATCGCGGGCCACAACAAGATGCTTCGCACTATACTTTTCCTTAATGATTCGCATCCATTCCGCGACGTCCTCATCTTCACGTCTCCGGTCCAAAGCTTTCACATCAATGCCGATTGGAAATGTTCCAACGTTAACGAAGCGATCTTCTAGTTGGACACCTTCATTCGTGGCCTCGACTGTAAGGATGCGACTGCAGGTTTGCAAGAAATGGTGGCAATATTCCTGGGCTTGGAAGCCTATAAGGTTGGCACCTAGCATGCCTTTTAATAGCTCTTCACGAACAGCCAAGCAGCGAAACACCTCAGAGGATGGGAATGCGATATGGAGAAAGAACCCGATTTGAGCATCAGGGATCTGCTTTCGTATCATCGCGGGAACCAACAGCAGGTGATAATCATGAATCCAGATGATATCGTCACGCTTCCAATTGCGAACTATGCGGTCCGCAAACGCTTGATTGGTCCTGACGTAGTAGACCCACGAGTGATCTTCATAAGCCTTACTCTTCGGGTTGTCAGGGATTTGATAATGGAAAACCGGCCAAAGAATTGTTTTGCAAAAGTGGAGATAATGGCCATCAAGGTCGATATCGTTTACGTAGACGGTCAATGCGTCAAAGTCCACCTCCAATTTTTCGGCGATTGTATCCTTGGTGTGGTCACCTAGTACGTTGGTAGGCATGCCGAGAGTTCCGACCCACAGCTTATCCTTTAGAAGTCCGGTGTCCACAGCGGAGCGAACAGCATTCCGAAGTCCGCCATTCCCTTGTTCCGACGATTCTATGGTCCAATCCGCTTCTGAAAAAAGTTGGCTTTCGTTGATTGATTGAGTGGAACCCAACGACCTAGCGACATCTCCTGCCTTCTGGGGGGTATCAATTGCGACACCGTGAGCTAGAACAGATGGTGCAGGAGAACGAAGGGGCTGCGCTTCGGGTTGGTTGAATACTCCCTTGGTTCCCCATGTTGGTGAATGAGGATCGCTCGGAGCAAGTGGCTGAAGATCGTTGTGAGAAGGGAACGGGTATCCGGGTTGATCCGCCCTAAGCTTTGGCTTGTCAGATGCGATGGCAGACAATTGGGCCTGCTCTTTGAGAAATGTTGGCCTCGATGAGGGGAAACTCGACCTCTTCTGCTGGGGGAATAGGCTGTTGAACTGCCTCCTGTGAATCTCTGAGGACCCTTCCCGCATATGGCGGCGTCTAGGGCTTGATGGCCGCTTACAGACCGAACCTTCCGGAAGGTGAAAGTTGACAGTGTATGGGAGAAATCTATAGGCAGAGTCAGAGAAAGTTAAGATATCAATGAGATAGCTGTCGAGCCCAGACGAACATACAAAGACACGACGAAAACAGTCATCGTGACAGAGCTCATCGACACAAAAAGTGACGATTTGGAACCTTTTTATGACGGAAGTGAGACAGAGACGAAGAGAGATATGCAATATCAGTGCGCTGCCACGCTGCTCTTTGTCTGTAAAATGATTCTAGGATAAACAAGCTGGATTAGGCTTTTCCATGTTGGGAGCAGGCGGGATAGGATGGTCATAACTACGTCATCTCAACCCTCATGGATGGGAATAGTAAAGGAGTAGAAGTTAGAGAAACGGGTATTTATTCGCAGGCCATCTTGGGGAACAAGACATCCCCGGACTCGATTCATTCATGCATTCATTCATGCATTCAATTGTGTTCATCCAATTCAGGGTTTGATATCAAGCTGCCAACGGTGGAGAAGGCAATTGCCTCTTTGGGAATTCTCGTCGCTGGCCCAACTCGATCCATCTAAAATACACCCACAGGTAGATTACCAACATCTTCGCCATTCCAATAACTAGTTGCTTAGTTAGTTATATCCTATCCTTTCCAGGATAGAATTCGGATTGAGGATTATCATTGGGACCAGAAATGAGAATGGTGACACTTCGGTTGAATGTTTTTCCAGCCGAGGTTATGATTGGTCGATCTCAATCAACTTGCTTTTTTCATTTTCCTCGAATTGCATTAACCCCGGCGCAGATAAAGACCTGGCGCAGTCTGCGGGTTGCTGTTCATGATGCCACTTCATTTCACAGCTGCACAGTCTTCACGAATCAGGAAATCATCAGGTACCCAGTTGTCTGGACGCCAGTCGCCATTTTCTCGCCACTCGCGCGCGAAACCTTTTCGCAGCCCGCTTGGCAGGACGGCCTTGGACAGCGACAATGACATCCATAGTGGCTATTACAAGGATAGCATCCTTCCTGATATTGGCCCGTCCCAGTATATTTCCGAAACAACGGAACTAAACAGCGTAATCCAGGCGATTCAGTATATTCGCAATACTATGTTTAGCGACCTTCCTCAAAGAGCAGGGATGAACAGCACTCGGATCGCGGAGGTGTTAAATTTTCGGCGTGCGCTCCCGCCTATTGTTTCTGTTGCGCATGTCCATATGTTGCTGAATGCGCCGACGAAGGTCGAGAGAGAGATTGTTGAACTCGTTGATTCCGCTCGGGTTCGAAAGCTTTTTATCCCCGGGCGCGGATTCGATTCTGCTGGCCTGGGAGACTGTTTAATCTTAGTTCAGGATTGGGAGGACACAGTTAGAAGCAGCTCATCTGTAAAAGATGATCTAAAAGGCATGTAAGCGAGAAGAAAAGGAATTTCCTATTTAATTTTTTTTGGCCACGTCGAGTTGAGTCACTAACTTGTGCGAGTAGAAAAATTTCTTGAACTTCTACGCAAAAATACCAAGACATCTGCCGTTGCAGCTGGTATTTTCACTCCAGAGGAGACTTCATCTTTGGTTCGAGCCGGCTTCCTCGTATCCCCGTCTTCTTTAGCTAAGCATCCATCTTTTGACACTTCTCCTACTTCCATCCCGGCCTCTAGACGAAGCCATGCTCTAAATATAGTGTTACCAGGACAAGAGATAGCAGTATCCGACCAGAGGAAATCGGGAATCTCCTCTATGTTTCTTTCAATACCGAACCTGGGTCCTTATCTCCGTCTGGTAGGCGCAGCGAGAACGCAAATCATGACTCTGCTAAAAAAGTCGCGCTCAGGCGAAGCCCCTTTGACCCTCATTAGGGACCGATGGGATGGTGCTGTTGAGTCTGAGGTATATTACAATGTTTCTAAACGAGCACGAGGCGAATCCGCTGGTGTCTTGCCTGGAAAAACCAAAAAATGGAAAGAGCTCTATGGGATGAACTTCCGATGGGCTTTGGAAGAGGCCTTGGGCTCTGGCCTTATTGAGCTCTTTGATACCGGCAGTGTCGGGCCTGGCGTTCGGCGTGTTTAACGATGTTATACGTGCATTTTAGATACCCTATTATTTATGATGCCTCAATTTTAACAAAACAATCGCCATAAAAACTTATGATAGGAAACGGGTTTCAGCATGAAACGGTGCATTGCAAGTTGCTTGAGTATATTAGAATTGGGAAATACGAGCCCCAAATGGAAGTTTTCCGTGAATCATCGTCAATGGCCTACAATATCATTTCCTCAAGCAGCCACCCCTATCGCCCTTCATCCATGCTAGCTACCCACCCACCCGCAACGAGATCAGCACTCCTGCCGCCAAGTGATTTACAATTTCTACCTAGGTACCTCATTCCTAATCATCGGGATACGGAGTTGGCGATCGATAGCTGTATAACCAAGTTAGTAGGCCAAGGTTGGTTGGTTTGCCTAATAGTGGGATTGAAGTAAAGCGGATATCAAGATGTGCAAGTAGCTTTCAACACATCCGCTAAAAGAAATTCTTTTCGCTCACCTTGGAGTAATTTATTTTAATTCCAAGAGAGATCCAAAACCTCGATCACTTCCAGGAAAACGGACATGTTTTTGTTGCAGTCCAGAAACACAGCACCAAGGACGGCTTGGACTGCGGTAGCCATCATTTTCATAGAAACGTCGACTCCCCCGATTCGATACACACATCCATCGAAGCCTCTCTTGAAGCCCTGATCAGCGAGATGAGAATTCGATGCTTTGGTTCTTAATGCGCTATCGATCTGTCCTAGGAATGATGAATTTAAAGCTCAGCCGGCGAAGCCCCTATATATATATATATATTTATCTATATTGCTAAGCTGCATAACGGTTAGCCGTACCTCTTGAAGCTCCTTTTCCGTAGCCAATCGTCACCAGAGCTAGCCTCAAGGCAGCATCTCCGACTTGGGCCAGGGATTTTTGCCCACCGGCTGTAGCACAACCAGCTGTCTGAAGAGCCTTGAGGCAGAACACCGGGTTGGTGAAAGTATACCCCGTTGCTATTTCAATTTTGATTAATATATCGTCACGGGGAGGAACGGCCGGATTCATTGTTAGCGAAGTTTTTGACATCGAGATTGGTTCAAAAGGAGGAAGTGCGGGCAACAAACTGCATCAAGAAAGCCGTCTAAGGACCGGACAATGTTTGGCTGGACTCTTGGATAGATAGATGGAAAGAACTCCGTACGATGAATAAAACGATGCACCAATCGCCTGGTAATCCGCGTTATTGGCGAATCTACACGCCTGTGATAAGAGATTCAACACAAAAGTGTACGGATTTGAAAGAACACTCTATTGACGTGACATCACTGCCTAGGTTTAACACCAAAAATGGCCAGAACATGTGCTTTTCAGTGGTCATTTTCTCAGCGTATTACGTGAAAGTACGGAGTATACTGGTGGTACATGTACACTACATTGTTGTGCAGTGATGTTAACTAAACGACATTACTCTCAAAATCATAGATCTCTGGGTTTTAACATCAACTTATATGTAACTATTTATCAGTATTCTGCATCACTTAAATGCGACAAACATAGTTATATCGCTCATAGATAGATGCCAGATCTCTATATAGTCCTGAGTACCGAGTCAGAATTTCCTGCTTGTTCTGTGAAGATCTAGAACCAATAGGAGGCTCGGCTTTCCCGCAATCACAAGGAATCGCCACAGTACCATGAGGCTCAGCTTTCCCCCAGGCCTTGGAGCTAACAAAAGAATATATTCATTCCTGCTTGAGAAATTCATAAATCCGTATTCTGTAATCTGCACAAAAACCAATATTTATTAGGGTCCATTAGATGGGCCAAAAGGGCCTCCCTCCATTTCAAAATTCCACATCGGTTTTAATGTCTCTCAAAAACCCAACAACCCCAACAACGACATGGCAAGCAACATCGTCCCACTTCCAGGTCACCCGCAAGACGACCACCTGAAAATCCACTGACAGATGACCGCAGGAACCAGGAGACGCTCTTCTACAGGCAGTGACGGCCATCGAAATCAATGACGAGGATGACGCAAATGACGGCGGTTACGTCTCTGATAGTGAACCGACCATCTCGTCATCACTCGTTTCCAGCGTGAGCGACTTCATTTTTGAATATGGGCGTCGATTCCATAAGTTTCACGAGGGCGCTTATCTGTTCCCCAACGACGAGCGGGAACAGGAGCGGGAAGATATGAAGCATTCCATGATCGTCAGCCTGTGCGGGGGGAAGTTGCATTATGCCCCTCTTGAAAGTCCGCATAGGATTCTTGACGTAGGAACCGGAACGGGCGTGTGGGCGATTGATAGTATGATAATCCAAGCTACATTTCTTTTTTTCTCTCCATCTCCTCCCTCTCTCCCCTTCTTTTCTTCGTTTCTTGGTTTTGATTTGATACCCGTAACATGCCAACTCATGCCTAACTCAAGCATTTTATGGTAGTGGGTGATCAATACCCTGGCGCCAATGTCCTCGGCATCGATCTGAGTCCCATACAGCCTATCTGGGTTCCCCCAAATGTGAGATTCATGGTTGACGATGTGGAGTGCCCATGGCTCCATCCAGATGATCACTTCGACTTCGTCCATATTCGGCATCTTGCCGCGGGAATCAAGGATTTTCCGAGGCTTGTTAAATCTGCTTTTCGGTGGGTCATTTTCGTCATCACTTTGAAGTGTGTATACATGCCCATTCTCCCATCCCTAACTAAATCTGGCCTAACCCACAGTAAATTGAAACCGGGCGGATGGATTGAAATCCAAGAACTCTACTATCAAGCCCAATGTGACGACGAGTCCATGCCAGATGACTATGCCTTTGCCGAATGGCTTCGTCTCATGAAACAAGGGCTCTCCACGTTCAATGTTGACCTCCTCTCCCCCAAAAAATACTCACGCTACATCCGCGAAGCTGGGTTTACGAATGTGAATGAACAAGAATTCAAAGTGCCCATCGGCACGTGGCCGAGAAGCAAAGCACTAAAGAGAATCGGTTTGTATAACCGCTGTCTGATCAGTGACGGGTTGCAAGGGGAAAGCATGAAGCCCTTCACAAAAGCGTTGGGCTGGACATTTGAAGAAATGGAGGTCTTTAACGTCGAAGTAAGGAAGTCGGTGGAGGATTCCTCGGTACACTCGTATCTTCCGTTCTTCGTGCTGTTTGCGAGAAAACCTCCCAGAGCGACAGATTCTGCCGGTTGATTATAAGCTGTTGAGCTTGTAAGAACTTTGCTGCTGAGTCTAAATCGTCATTTAAAGTAAGTCATAGAAAATGCTATCACGTCTTGGACCCTCGCACTTGTTTCTGTTACATGCCAATAATAATCAATACTAAAATTACTGGAAAGAGTCGTTCCCTTCTACATTAAGCTTTTTGCGGAACAGATAAGGTAGGGATTTAGCCACTGCATCAAAAGGACCAATCCGTAAGGTGGGGAAACCGATATTAAGATATTTAGCATGATTTTAACTGTCTGACATTGTTGACAGCTACGGTGGATCTACCCTGATGATCAGCTTCCCCCAGCCATACTACATCTACGAAAATTAGCATGGGATTTCTTTCCCGTGACAGTTTTCTTCTGGGAGTTGTGGAGTTTAACTGTATCCGACAGCTGCTTGAGGGCCATGAGTTCAAAGAAATATGTGATCGAGTGAGGCTCCGGCCCAAATGTCCACCGATCCGCTTCGGTAAATTTTGCCGCGCGCTTAAATAGGGCGATCTGCAGCCTGAGCGCCTAGACTTCCTAGTACAGACTAGCGCCCACCGCACTGTATAAAACCCACCCAACAGCTACCGATTACGTCACGACTCACTTTGTGTTGGCGCCGCAAGCTTCCTATCGCGGACTAGCACTAGTTCTCATACAACCAACCACTTTTGGCTCCATACAGGTGGATCAGCCGCAACCGCTCTTATAAATGCCAATGCTTGGAACCTGCATCTCTGGAGATGGTGTATATAAAACGACTTGAATAGAAACCTGAACAAAGCACAAATTCCTCGTTTACCGTATAGCCATGTCTCCCTCCACAATCCCATTCCTACTTCACCTTGCGCCTCTTTCTCCTTCCGAAATTCCTGCCCATCCATCTATCCCCTACTCTTCCCCAAGTTCAGCCAGTGACGGAGCCATTGATGCCCGCCCTTCTCTCAGCCTATTCCTACATGCTGCGCTCACGCAGGCTCGTGACTTCATAACAACCACCGTCCCAGGAGAATCGTTCACTGCGGACCGCAAGCTTTACGACTCGCCACCTTCAAGCACGCCAGTGCAAATATCGTCTGGTACTGTCAAGTATACACCATTGGCTAGCAAGAACCCAGCGGCCCCCCAGAAGGAAGACAAATGGTTCGCTCGCCGAACTGTTCTCGACAATCGCACCACGACGGGGAACGCATCTTTCCAAGAATTCGTTGAGGGATTGAAGGACAGCCACTTGATGAATGAGATGGAGTACGAGCCGAATATCACTGCGGTAGAGGAAGTTGCAAAATGGGATTGCAGTGGCGTGGAAGTTGAGGGGGGTTGGAGCGGAGTGGGAGCTAGCCGTGAGTATCTCTGGAACGCCCTCTTCCTCATTCTTTGTTTTTCCCCTTTCTTTCTTTCTTTTTTTTTTAAAAAAATAATTATGTGTCCCCAGCTCTCCTTCTCCGATAACCTCCTCCAGCCAATTCACCTACTCCCATTATTCTACCATTTTGCCAGATCATTCAGGCTAATGAACGCCCAGTCTCCCTTGTAACCCACACTTTCCAGCCGGCAAGTGTCATCTCTCCGCGTGTATTCCTCGCCATGGTAATCACGGCCTTTACTCCACCGGAGTCCCCCACTTCAACCACGCCCTCCGCTTTCATAAACATTCAGCTCCCCATCCACGTCTCAGCCATTCCGCCGTCCCTCCCCTTACCCAAGAATGCCGTTCTGGGGAAATACGTCTCGGTCGAGATGGTCCGAGTTCTCGCGGATGCAGACGACGCTGCCGGGCCGGGCAAGATCGAGTGGCGAATGGCTACATCCTCCCAGGCCGGCGGCTGGATTCCTAGGTTCCTGCAGCACAGTTCTATCCCCAATGCCATCGCGAAGGACGTGGGGCTGTTTCTGAAGTGGGTCGACGAGCGACGAGCTAAGAAGGCGGGTAGGTAGGTAGGTAGGTAGGTAGGTAGGTAGGGATGTAAGTAGGTACTTAGGGGAAGGACGAGTACTGGAGCTGGGGTTATGATGGGTGTGGTTACCTTGAAACCCTCTTTCAGTACTTTGTCCCACGTCGAACGACACGTTCATGTATATAACCTTATTGAAGGGCCGCTAGTTTAGCAGGTCGGGAGAATATGTTTGTTCAAATACGCTGGCGTATCAATTTGAATATATTTCATACAATGCTTGTTGAAAGGTGCTGTTCTCGGGAGGGAATATACGCCAGACAAAAGAGCCTGCAGGCCCTATTAAAATTACTTTGAAAACATTGCCGGAAAGAACCTACCGAGATTAATCAATGAATCTATAACTACCGCATACTTATTAACCCTCAATATCGCCCGTTACTCGCCTTTCCCGATTTCCATCCGCCATCTGGGACACTACCTGCTCGCCTACATTACAGGGCCTAATAATGATAGACTTATACATCTTAAAATCGACGTTATCTTGTATATATATCGATTATATATATGCATATAGACCAAAAAATCAATAAATACAGAAAGAGAGTGCATCCAACTTCACTCCCCCCTTTAAAACGTACCATACGTTAAAATTCGTTGAGAAAGGAAAAATATGGAAGACATGCGCATTTATACGCCAGGCGAAACGATGCAGGCTACCTAGTAGAAAGAGAGGGCCGCCCAGTTGGTTGAGTTGAGAGAAAAATGTAGAGAGAGTGATATTAGATGACAACGGGTGTAATGAGCGCGGTGGGCGGGAAAAACTCTTCCCGCTGATGTATTTTCTCTCATTTTCTTAAGTCACAAAGGACGATGGAAAAAGAGGGAGTGACAACTAGCAGAATCACAGAGAGGGATACCCATTTACACACAAAGCGCTTGTAAAGGAGAGATGAGATGAGGTAGAGTGGACATGATAATGTAAGCTAACAAAACAGCAAGCATCGAGCGAGAATAAAATGTGGGACGTCTAAGTGGTTGTATTAGCATGTAGGCAGCTGAGGCATATATGTGCGGTGCGCTAGTCCGTGATAGGCAGCCTAGGGCCAACACCTCCCCTCGGACTAGTAGCCGTACAGATATCTATCTATCTATCTAGAAATCCTATTATACATGAAATTGCAAAATCAAATCAAACAATCAAATCAAGTAAATCAGACAAATCAAGCAATCTATCAATCAGGTTGTTGTTTCCACTTCTTCAGCTGATTGTAATTCCCTTCTCCTCCTATATAATCTGGCTGGCTTTTCAAGAGTTCATCTCTATCCAAAGAAACTGTAGTGTATAATCCTTGATTAGGTTGGCTGGCCATAAGATTCTTCTCTTTATCTTGTTCTTTATCTCTCTCTTTGCTTTTATTCTTTGATTCCTTCATCATCTTAATCTTTTCCTTATTATTTTCCCTCCATTCAGCATCTGCTAGATGAGGGTTCTTGAGCCAGCAGGACTGGCGGCTATCCCATCGATTGGTATGATCACCAGTGGTGATAGCAGCAGCAGTGGTGGTGGTGGTGGTGTTCCGGGTGGTGATAGTGGTGGCATTCCGGGTGGTGGTAGTGGTGGCACGGGCAGCAAGCTGGTTCATCAAATCATCTAGGTTCAGGTTCTTGATAGGGCCCTGCCTAGTAGCATAGAATTCATCCAACTTTGTTCTAACAAATTCCTGTTGCCAATCCCCCAATCCCAGTATAAAGAGGTCATGGTAGGTACTCTCAGCCCAGTTTTCACCCAGAGATACAAGTTTTGTCTTCAGTTTCTGGAAGGTTGCAAGATAGGTGTGGAAATCATCATTCCTCAGGCGTAGATCCCTGATCTTCTTGGTGGTAAAGAGGCGTTCCTCTGCATGGGATATTGCGTATCGTCGGGCAAGGTTCTTCCATATGATGGCAGCAAGATAGGTGTCATCTAGGGGTCCTAGGGAATCGCGTACAGTGGCATTCAAAGATTGAAAGATTCTTGTGTAAAGAAGCTCATTTTTCTTGTTCCAAAGCTCCATATCCAGAGGCACTGTGGTAGGAGGCACTATTTCTTCCTTGGTGAGAACATCTTTTGCCTGAATAAGATGAGCATCTGCGAGAATAGAGCTCTTCCATTCCAGATAGTTGTTTGATCCAGTGAGAACAACTGCATGCCTCCCCTCCAACTTGGCTTTGGCATCCTTGCGAAATTCATCAATCTCATTCTTGATAGGGTCCCCAGCAGTAGATGATAGAGATAGCTTCTCCATAAGTGTCTTCATCTGCTCATCCTGTCTTGCTATCTGCTCATCCTGCCTTGCTATCTGCTCCCCCTGCCTTCTCATATATTCCATCATTATCTGTATCAAGGTATCGGTCGTTGGTGTTGGGCCCAGTGGCCCAGGGGTAGTGGTAGGTTCATATTCAATATCATCATTGCTAGCTGGGGTATCCATCCCCATGGTAGCTCGAGTTCTAGGAGGCATTCTCCCCCTTATATCAATCAAATTTTAATCTTTTTCCCGCGATCAAAGCTCTTCTAGCCTTCGTCAGGATCCCTTCTGCTGATCAGCGTAGCAGCTCGCGAGACGTTAGATGCCTCAGATAGGCAGTGGAAGGTTCTTAATATATTTATTAAAAAAAACAAGCAATCCGGGCTATAACCTGTGGGACGTCTAAGTGGTTGTATTAGCATGTAGGCAGCTGAGGCATATATGTGCGGTGCGCTAGTCCGTGATAGGCAGCCTAGGGCCAACATAAAAGGCATGAATAAAGGGAAATGGAGAAGCAAGGGAAGCAGAAAAAAAAATAATCAATAATAAAATACGCTAATACATATTGAAAAATAAAAAATAGATATAGAATAAACAAAAATTGGCTTGCGTCCTCCCAACTCACAACAGTAATCATATATAATGAAAATGTCATAGAAAAGAGTGAGAAAATCAGAAGGTTTTTTTTCTTTTTTTTTTGGCTTCACACATGTCCAAAAGGAAGCAATAATAGAAACAAAGAAATTGAAGTATTGGTTTCAATCAACATGGATAGGCAGAATGGGACGAAATGGAAAAAAAAAAGCCAGGCAGATGGCATGGGCATTGCAATGATAATACGAGAAATCCCCCGCCCAGACGCCATGCAACCTCATCCAGAATAACCAAACATCGTGTCGTCCGTATACTATGCACCATTGGCAACGTTTCCAGCTCCAGCTCCAGCTCCAGCACAACTGCCGCCCGCTGCAGCAAGTTGATCCCGCAGCCGCACAAGTTCTTCTTCCAGACCATTCACGCGGTCTTCAAGAGTGCGTACGTACGACCATACCCTATCTGGAGACGGCGCAGAAGAGCCCGCGGTGTTGGAGTGGTGCGATGATGTTGATAATTGCCGTTGCCGCAAGAAGAGGTTATTACTACTATTATTGTTATTATTGACATTGCTTAGATCTGGGCTCGCATTGCTGTTATTACTGATGTTGCTGTGGTTCTGGGAGTGGTGATGGTGATGGTGGGCGTGAGATGACAGGTGAAGACTTTGTTGTGATTGTGATTGTTGCGATTGATTGGGCTTAGGACTATGGAGCGGGAACCGTGTGTCTGGGTTATTGAGGCCATGTGGTAGAGGAAGTTGTGGTGCACCTGGTTGTGGGGCAGGGAGAATTTGCGCTGGTCCGCTGCTAGCCCCGGTGCTGCCGTTTCGTCCGAATTGTTGAGACGTGTATTGAGGTTTCAAACTGGGAGAAAGGCCGCCACCACGCGAATGTGACTGCGCATTGTGCTCCGGGCCATGGCTCAATTGACGTGTGGGGACGACGTTTGGTGATAGTGGTTTGGGGCTTTCACTGATATTGTTCTGCGCGAAGACAGAAGTTGAGCTGCCTTGCGGTTGTTGCTGTTGGTGCGCATTTAGGCTCGATGATGAACCGCTCCCGACCCCAGGAGGAAAAGATATAGTCCCGGATTGTGAGATGGGAGATGGTGATGCGCTTGAGCCGGGGTGACTGGTAACGGGTGGGAAGAGGCTGCCTTGGGAGGATCTTCCGGCCGCTAATGGCGGGTAGGTGCTTGATTGGTGCGATTGGAATGATACGTGTCCACCGCTAGTGCTTGATGACCGTTGGTCAGAATCTGGAGGGTTGTGCTTTTTGATACTGGGCATGTTTAGGCGTTTCTCATCCTCCTCATCCATGCGGTCTGGCTCAGTGTACATAAGGCCCTCCATCCCATTTTCGCCACCCGCGCCGCCTCCGTCGCCGTATTCATCATCGCCAAGGAAACTACCCAAGCTAGACCGTCTCCCTGCGCAACCCCCTTGGCCCTTGTTATGTCGTGCTAATGCATCGCCTCGAGCAAATCGACGTCCACACTTTGGGCAGATATGCGGGCGCTCTCCGGTGTGGAGTTTTGTATGGCGCTTCAGATCGTGTAATCGTCGGAACCGTGATTGGCACGTCTGACAAACGTATGGTTTCTCCTGACTATGGGTAAGTAGATGACTCTTCAAGTTATGATGACGCGTAAATTCCGTTGCGCAATGGTGGCATCTGTGTTTCTTTGCGGATGGAGAACGTGGAGTTCCTTTGTTGAAGCCTGCATGCGGTAGACTCATTCCTCTTCGGGAATCGTTCATGTTTGATGCGGGCATTGGGACTGGATAGGAGAAGGCTTTGTTCCCATCCTCCATCATGACATCTTCCTCTCTGTGGCGCGATGTATCGTTATCTATGGAATCGGGCTCCTCGATAGGTCCTGGACTGGCAACAGTTCTACTGTTGATCAGAGTGGTGGTGCCTATATTATCTCCGCCATCAAAAGTGTCTGACATGCCGACTGGGCTTGTCCGCCGCATATGGCTATCTGTCCTTTGGTCATCTGTAGATATATGAGCCGATTTCTGAGTACCATCCACTGGCCCCGTTGGTGTTGAAGCTGCTGCATCGTGGAATTTGTCCCTGCTTTCGTTCGGTGCATCGGAACTAGAGCGTCCGAGATCCCTGGGAATCTGTTGGGTAGAGGCGCGCTCCCGGGATCTATCACGACGATCCAGGCTACTGGTGATCCTCGGTTGCGGCGAGAGCCGCGAGTTCGTGGCCATGATTGGTGACGGTGAAGCACGCAGTCCCGCGCTGGCGATCGAGCTTAGAGTATAACCACCTTTTGGCTCCGCAGATTTCAGGAATGAGGATACGGCCCCGGGTTTGGACACTATGGAAGTAGAAGAGGGCACAGCAGGATTGTTTGATGTTCGGGAGAGGGGATTATGAAAAGTGACCGAGTCCGAGCTTGGGTGGACACGACCATCCATGAATAGATGGTTTTGGGAGCTGGAATCGTGCAAGATGAGGTGTTGATGAGAATTCGCACGCTCGAGGGCGACAACACGAGTAGCTAATGAAGAAGTCATGTCAGTTTCGGGTGGGTGATAATGAGCAGGATAAACGTGCGCCTGAGAGATTAGCGCGAGGAGGTGGTGGTGCGGATGAAGCAAGCATGGAGCGGTTTGGGAATTCCGGGCAGTGTGAGGCTGAAGGCAACTCCAGATATATATATAAAGAGAGAATCAAATCAAAAAAAGCGACGGCCGAATTAGCCAGTGGAATTGAAAAATTGCCAAAGAAGAAGGGAAGGCAACAGGTCTGCATTCACATATTGAAATATAACACGAGGCACTGGCAAAAGAGGGAGGAGTCAAGCACCGAGCCAAGCCGGACGAAGCAAAAAAAAAAAAAAAAAAAAAAAAAAAGAGAGCGAGGACACGGCTAGAAAGCCAACAGAGGGTAAAAGGAGGCAGATCAATCGGCACAGAAGGAGATGGAGGAAAAATAGCATTTGAAAAGGGCATCAGAGAAGCAAGCACTCACCCGACTGGGGTGGATGAACCTGGTGGAATGATACGAAATCCGCCTGAAACCAGAGGTGGTAGAGTGTGGCGCAAGCTGAGGAGATTCTGAACTTTTTCTGGTTTTGGCCCTTGTCTATAGTTTGAGCCAGGCGGTGGGAGAATTAACCAGCCAGGAGGGATGGGGGCGGCTGAGGGCTGGAAGGACGAATAGGGATGTGTCCATAGGTGTGGAGAATAATATTAATAAGGAGGAGAAACAGGAAGGCGAAGGCAATTGGGGAATTCAGAACAGGTATGTGGCTGGCGCGGCTGGACGGCGAAGAGGCTGAGTGTCGGCGGTCACGGGGAGAAGTCGGGGACGGTACCTAGGTACCCAGGGGTCCAGTTGTTTGGCGGGCACAGAGTTCAGTAGTTCCGCTGGTGGGAGGTATATAGCTGGAGCGCAATGGGACGCAGCACCATCTCCAGACGGGAGAGAGACGGGACGGATTCCCTGGAGAAGGCCAAGCGGCAGAGTGGCACAAGAAGGGGCAAAAAGAGGAGAAAGAGAGGAGCGTGGAGAGCAGCAAGCAAGGAGCGGCAATGGCGATCGATCGAAGCAAACCATGAATTGGGAGAGATTGCACAGACAGGCGACAGCAGAGATCCCGAGGGCAGATAACGCGCAAGACCAATAAAGGCACGCGCAGACTGGGGTTCGGGAGAGGGATGCTGCTGGGTTGTTGGATGAGGCAGAGGACGTTGTCGTTGTCGATGTCGTGGTGGTGATAATTACAGACGCCTCGAAGGGGGATGGCGCCGTTACAGGCCGTGTACTGTTGTCGGTACGGGACTGTAATTCACCACAGCTTGAGGCTCAGCTGCAGCCTGCAGAGCACCGCACTCCGGGTGGGGCGCGGTTGCGGGACTAGCTCCAACTGGCCTAGGCGCTGCGGGGCTGGCACATGGATGGCCCGCTGGCGGCGGCGAAAATTGGTGTTCTGGCACGTACGGGTAACGGCCGTGACGGGTAACTTACACGATACCAGGTGAGGCTCTGCGATTGATATGATATGATAGTCACGATATCAACAAGTTAGTTGGCCATAGTTACTTCAACTTGCTTGGATCTGTGAACGCAGAGACTCAACGACGGATTTTACTCTGAGGGTTTGAGAGCGGTCCACTGATGCTGCATTCTCACTCCTCACCCTCAATTCGTTGCAGTCTGCGGTCTACTTAACATGCCTTTCACTATACCAGCCAGCGGCCTCAGCCTCTCAGTTAGACCATCTCCCGAATACGAAGCAAGGCCTACACTGTATTGTACCTAAGCTCAAGCTCCCTGGCACCACCAACTTCTTTCAACGGTCGACATGTCTGCATCGAAAAAAACTAACCCTACCTGTACCTATTTTTACACCTTCCATCCCTCGAATCCGGGGGAGAGCAAAAGCCACACTACAATTAGATGATATTGTGATAAGAGGGCTAGGATGAATTTGTGCTATGCGATTTTACGAGCTGACCCTGTCAGGATGAAATAACTAAATATATAATCTATCATTATCCTCGGCTTGAAGATACCAAGAAAAGCGCTGTCATGGTGTAGCTTGCAAACGAAACATACTCCAGGGAAGCAGGTTGCACCACACTTGAGCTGGGTATCGTCGGCATCGGAGGATGAAGCCCCAAAGTCTCATCGTTTCTGGACAGGGCATGGGGATGTGGTTTCAAAATTGGATAGTTAAACATGTTTCGGACCAGAACCGTACATGATTTCAATTCCCGGGTTGCAAAAAAAAAAATAAAAAAATAAAATAAAAAAATAAAAAAAAAAAGCCCAAAACAAAAACAAAAAACAAAAAACTACTCAGCGTTCTCAAATGCTTGGACCACATATGTCATATCTCCCCATCCAATGGTGGTGGATTTTTCGTATTTCTCCGGCTCTTAGCTCTCAAGCTAATCCTTCCTGGGGAAAAGCCCGAACTGTGAGAATTTTTCCATCTAGGGTTTGAAAGGGAAAAAGTTGGTGCATGGGTTGAGAGAAATGGCGACAGACGCGCATAGCTGATTACATAGAGTCATGCATTTTTGATATTTATTTAACCATTGTCCGCATACATAGTGCGTGACGATAGTGGTGTATGATGATGTAGAGTCTGAAGAAATAAAATAAAGCTAGCTATTTTGGGGGGGAAAAACATGAAATTGTATATATGGCAAACGAACAAAAACTTAAGAAGCTAGGAGAATCCTACACTCTGGTTGCTTTCAATCATTCCAAGGCTGACCGAAACTCAGGCTGTGTTGCCTGTCTTTGCTCTCGTAAAAACTCCTGTTTGACGTTTGCGGTGCTGCGGATTGATCGACCCTGCAGGCACATTGGAAAGCTTATTCTGATGAGCGAAGTGGAACGAGAAACGAGAAAGGAAATAACTAGTGACTGCTGCTATTCGTGGTCATAGGTGTTCACATAATGAATGGCGATTCGTACCATGCGATTTATTCATTTAGCTACAAATCTAGACCTGGAGACTCAAAGGGGGGTTGAGTTTGGGATTTTAAAAATGTACGCACAATAAAGGTATATACAGAAGTCGCAAACTTTAGAAAGACTAACCTGAAGGTAAAAAGCACAGACATCTCCCCACATGATATCAAAATAGAAATGAGGCGCAGTTCAGGGTATTAAATTAAGTAGCAAAATTGCAAAAGAAAGGGGAATGAGACGAGTAGGACAGCATTAAAATTGAAAAAGAGAGAGAAAAAACGATAAACAAAAGGACCTTCGTGTCCATCATGAGCGCTAAACATTGCTCACAAATACTAGATAGAAAATGAAATATGTCGCTGAAATGGCCAAAGGCAGTCGATTGGAGGGGGGATTTACACGCTACAGGGCAAGGAAAATACAAAATGAGATAAAGTAGCTTAATAGGAAGAGGAAAAAGTCTGAAAATAGGCACGCGGTAAAATCTTTCAAATTTCAAATTTGAGACACGCAAAAAAAGAAAAAAAAAGTTGATAGCAATCATCCCTCGAACAGCCTGGCGAAGGAAATAGCGTAGGACAAACCAATCGTAAATCGGAAATACATAAGTCGGATGAGAAACCTCATGGAGCAATCCCTTTCGCCGCATTTCTTCGTTTGGCATCTTCCAGCGCTTTCCGATGTCGTTGCTGCTGATCATCCTCGACTCCCGCAGAGTTTGGTCCAAGCGGGGTGTTTGATGGAATTGATAGGAGCCCTTCGGCGATGGATTCGATAGGAGGAGCAGCGGGTGATGACCGGCCCTTCCGAGCATCCTCATTAGATGCGGACATGTTAGACCCTACTCTTCGGGTTATATTTAATGCTTCACGAAGATTAGCCATCAACGCCTCGTGACCCATACGCACGCTATCGAGGCGAGTTTGGAGGTCATCGTGAATTTTCACGTCTTCTTTCCTTTTCTCCTCTTCGAGGCGACGGAAGATATCGGGATCTGCGTTTGAGACGCGCGCTTCTGAGACGGAGACTTCGTAGTCTGCCTCATTTAATGCTCGATCAGCTATGCCAAAACTCTGAAGGATGGATTCAGAATCCGTGCCAAGATATTTGACCAAAGCTAAGGCGGAAGCCATTATCTGTTCTGTGTCTGAGGGTAGACGGCCTAAGATATTGAGGTATTGCGCGGTGACCCTTTTCACCTTGCCGGCGATATCGTCTAGGACACTTTGGTTCTCGCCCAGTCCACGCATGCTCGCATCATCAAACGCATCCATGAGCGTATTCGAACGGCTGTCCTTTTCCTTCGCAGCATTCAGGATGGTGCTCTTTTCCATTGCATCGAAATCCTGATCGAGCTGCTTTAGCGACGAAGTCTCACCGAGGAAAACATAGTATCTACGCTCGGCTTTTTTACGCCGCCGTTCCCGGTCGATGATCGCTTCCGTTTGCTTGGCATATCGAACCTCAAGCTTTTGGAACAGTTCTACGGCGATCTGCATCACATGTGAAAGCTCATACTTTGTCGTTTTTGGCGAGCCAGGTAATAGGTCGCTTGTTGCGGTATCAGCATTGAGCATATCGACAGCTCGATCATATTGAGCTTGGAGTCTAGATATATCATCCTTCAGCCGGTTTTCTATCGGATTAAAAACATTATCGAGGTAGTTTTCAAACTCCTTCCTTTCTTCAGTCAGCTGTCGTTGCGCTTCCGTTTCCCTAAACTCATCCTCCAAGACATTAATGTCCGAATACCCTATCTCCTTATCATTGAAAAGGCCATCGATATGGTGCTCGGATTCCTCTTGCCTCACTCGACGTTGACGGTCTAGCTCGGGCCGCCTAGTGCGCGCCTGTTCATCCCACGCATCGATGGATACTTGGATGAAGTTGAAATCATCCTGGATACCTTCTAGTTCCTTGCGGAGCTCAATGACATCCGGGTTTGCAGCTGGGTTTGGAAGCGTCGGAGGAATTACATCTCGCAGGCTATCAAAGATTGTTCTCGGGTTCCCTGTTACTGATGTCTCCCCTGACAGTTTTGTATGAGGGTCAGAACCTCTATGTCGCCCGCGATAAGCGACACTCTTTTCCCTGATTAGTCCGATGAACGTTTCATCGTGCTCCGCCTTCCCCATGGATGGAGACTCTAGGGAGGCTCCACTAAAAGCGTTGGCAGCTTGGTGAGCGAGTGTTCGGCCACTGGAGACAGATGCTTGCCGCAAAGCAGAATATGCCTGAAACGCCGGCCGATCAAAAGTCAACGGACCTGAGCCCCTTTGGGGCCCTTCAGTGTATCGGAACGGTGTGTAAACCGGCCTTGTAGGTTGACTTAAGAGCGGAGTTAGATTCGGATTCCTAGACACAACCGAGCTAGCTCCAGGGGGAACTGATACTGATCGGGGAAAATTCTGCATGGAAGCCCCGAGAGAAGTTTTGCTAAAACCATCCTTTGAAGTCAGGTTACTCTGTTGAAAGTGAGTTTGTAAGGGTGGAGTTGGGTGAGATGCTGATCTATGAAGACCATCTCCCGCGGGTGTCCCCATTGCCATTCCACGTGCAGACAGCGCGGAAGCAAGTATCGGTCGGCCACCTGGACTGTAGCTTACCACGTCATCTCCCATTTCCAAGGGGGCGCTATCTTTGGAGGTGTTTAATGCTGGTAAAGTTAAAGATTGCCTTCTAGCGGAAAGGTTTCTTGTCGGCTCGCTATTTGAAGTGTTTGCTGTGTCCTCAATACCATAGAGTATTTCGCGCAACTTTGCTTCCTTATTAAGAAAGTGGGTAAAAATTTTAAACCTCTCTTCGTCTGATTCTGCAGCCATTTCTTTTCGGAGCATGGTAACATATCGGCCCAAAGAAGACTTGTACCAAGGATCAAGGTCTTCATACAAGTCAACAACTTTTATTATGGTCTTAGGCGCTGACTGTTCCGCTTTGGGAGTCGTGGATCGTGGACTCTCATGCTTAGGAGTATGAGCACGAGGGGAAGGCGAGGATGGAATGTGAGGTTGCTCAGAGGCATAAGACGACGACGTCGAAGAAGCATCTTTAGGTTGTGTGGCATCAACCGAAGTTGTTTTCGGCGGCACCGGATTGGACCACGCTTGGATTACTCCATCTATTATTGTAGAATCATCGGTCGAAATTACAGATGAAGACAAACTATCAGCTCGGTTGAGTGGTGGAGGCTTATCAGGCGCGATCCTTGGGGGAATATTTGGGCTAACCGGTGGACTGGGAGATGGTTTTCTGGTGGGTTCAGGCACCGCATAGCTCTGCGGGTTCTCCGCGGGCAGGACATGGTCTCGCTCATTCGGTCCATTCAAGGTAGGTGGAGCTGTGGCTGAAGGCAGCTCATAAGTATTGGGCTTCTCTGGAGACACATTCGACTTGAAATTGAAGGTAGCTGTGTCGTCGATTTCGTCATGCCTGGCGGAAAAATGTTCCCAATCAGATGGACAGCCTGAGCCTAATGCTGATGAAGTTGATACAACGGGAGGAGACTGCGGAGTTGCAGGAGCAACTGAGGCCGGTGGTAGGAGCGACCCATAGGGGCTCATGAGATTTGGTGGTGGTGATAAAGCAGTGACAAAGCCCGCGAGCGGAGTGGCCTGATGTTGGCCATATATTCCATTTCCTGTAGAAGCATGTTGACCCACGGTAGGTGGCTCCGAAGTCGCTGGGTCAGGGGGCCGTTGTTGCGTCGGGTCATCATACTGGCGTGTCGGGGCCTGATCGGAATATGGTGGCTGTGATGTCCAGCCCTGTGAGAGTTGTTGCTGCTCTGCTTGGTATGCTGGTGGCAGAGGTGGCGGCGGCGGCGGAATTGGTTGAGTACTATGGGCGTTGGGATCTTGGAACGTTTGCCAGGGTTCTTGCTGCTGGTAGTAAGAATGACGCTCGGATATATTCATCGACAGGGTTTGTGGGTAAAGTTGTTGGTTCGATTGGAGCGGAGGGGTAGACGTGGGTGCTGGAGCGGACCATGGAGTAGCCTGCACTGGTGACTGCGATTGCGATTGCCCATGATCAAACGCACTTGACGGGCGGGGCTAGAGGTTTCTAGGTCAGCTTTTGAGTGGCCAAAAACTTCACTCGAAAACGCTATCAGACATACTGGTAACGGCGGGCCAGGGGACTGATTTCCGTAGAGGCTGGACTGAGGACGATGGTGCGGGAGCTGGTGGTTAAATTTGACGCCCCATGAAGTAGTGTCACCACCAACAGGCGAGAATCCCGAATGGATATTCTGGTCTATCGATGAAGAGGCACCGGCCCCTGGCATCGGACCATATGTTCCCGGATTATAGGAGGATGCGCCCGCTTGCGACACGCGCGGAGGAAGCTGCGGAGGTGGGGCGATGTCCGAGGGCTGCCAGGGCATACCAGGCGCCTGATTTGTGGGAGGCTGCTGCCATTCAGGTTGCGACGTGGCCGGAGGATAGAAGGATGGAATCTGGGGTTGTTGAGAGCCAAACATATCTATACTTGAGGGTTAGCATTGCAAACTCTGGCCGGGTCAATAGAAAGCTTACTGTGTGCTGAGAAAGGAAGGGATCCTTGGATCTATCTGACAGCGGGAACCTTCTGTGGAGTGTAACCATGGATATAGAGCCGTGGTAGCCAGAGTTCTTCTTATTCTCCCAACTTCCCTCGTCCCGGGAAACAGGCCACGGCAACTCTCAGAACTTGAATGCGCTGCGATGGTGAAGACAGAGAGTCAACAGATAGCCAAGGCGGAGGGGGAGCAGCGGTCGTATAACTAACCGGTTAGTGAGTGGAGTTAGTTATATAGCACGGGCGGTGGCCTGCACTGGGTCACTAAGCAAGCAGGTGACCTTGCCAACTGAGCCGAGTCACATTCAACAACCACCAGAGGCGTTGGACCCAGCATCCACACGCTCAAGACAGCCAGCGACTCTTCAACGCAGATGATAGAGCAAAAGACAGCGCCGTCAGCAGCAGAGAATGAGATGCTCACGAAGAGTTTTGCACTCGCTTGGGCGATTGGGCAGCGGGAAAGGAGCTCTGTTGCCAGAAATAGAGCAGACTAACGGAGTAGCTCCAATCCGATGCAACTCGTCCATCGCCGTAACTCTGGTAAATCATGGCGGTGCTCAGCCATTCGCGCGATCTTTGAACTAGCGCAGTGGACCATGCGATGTCTATCTTATTTGGATGCAGGTGAGACAGACGATTCAATTTAACTAACTACGCAGGATTTGATTACACAATTTGCCGACCTGGAAAGTTTTCAAAGGACAAAGGAATGGTGTGTTAAGCCTGGCCCCAAGTCAATGAAGAAAATTGGCTATTTGACAGTTGTATATTAGGTAGGCGGAGTGGATATTTGTGGAAGATATCAAATGCCTACCGCCCTGCGAAAGTTTTCGTTCCCTTGTGATCGGCTATCCAGCCATTTGATCTTCTCAATCTTTAGTTGCCTGCTGCCAGGTTAGCCGACAAGCTAAGCACTTTTAAACGAGGCTTATTCAATTTAAACTCCTGTTTCACCTTTGAACAAAACAAAGTCCTCAAAATAAAGGGACATGATTTGGCGTGACGTTGAGCTCTTGAAACTCCCCAGCGATTTGACCATCTGGTATTGACACAATGATTGTTTGGCATTGATATTCTAAACACTTGACGAAGATAACTCTTCATTGTTTCCTTTTTTTTTATCTGTTGTTGCTACAGATATTTCTTTGTAGCAAGCACTTTATTGCCTCTGATTTTGTTTGTGCTTCCCTCCACTTCATTCAAAGGAAAAGCAGCTCATTCTTCTCGGGGGATCATATCTCTCCTCCCTTGCTGAAAATGTCGCTTCTTTATATTGACAGGATACTGATTTCCTATCTTCCTTCAAATATGGCAGGTTATCCTGGCTTCACTTATCCTACTCTTGTGGCTGTTCCTATAGTTCAGATAAAGCCCTCTGACGGAAACTTCGCGGAGTAAAAACTTTTTTCTGAGCTCATTTTTACTACTTCGCTCAGTGAGGTCATTGTGAAAGCAGAGAATAATCTTGCTTGGCGGGGGTATTACCGATTACCACATTGGTTGCCGGTTACTACCAAGTCCTAGGCGGATCCGCTCCATACACTGGCCATCACAGTCATATTATCACTTTTCCAGATATTCTACAGCCTGGCCAAGAAACCAGCCTGCCCATTGAGGATCTATGACAGCAGACAGCTCCAGGAGAGGGCAGCAGCGAGCAGCCGGGCCATCCGATAATGAGGAGGGTGTTGGCCATGAACTACCCCGTGTCTACTTCCCCGATCGGCCTGACCTATTTAAGGAGGTCGAATGGGGAAGTCTCCCTAGCCAAAAGGACACTCAGAAAGCGTACAAGCTTTGGTCAACTCAGGACTCTTGCCTCGGAGATGAAAATATCAGGCTTCGTAGCTATCCGCGGGCAAAATCCACGGAACACTTAAATAACCCGCGCACTTGCCTTGCACGAAACGTTTACGAGAATATTTTACACTCGGATCTATTTCCCTCCCCTCAACCAGTCAAAGAAAATGCGCAGTATCGATACATTCCTCAGACAGACAGGTATGAGCCTTTGCGATATTGGCAGATATTCCATTCAAACAACCCTAGTCGTGATGCTTCCCCTGAGCCGCCGTCATCGCCTATCTTGATAAATGGTTACAATGTTCTTACCGATCGATTCTGGACCAAGAAGAGGCTCCAAGCGCAACTACGATCTCGAAACTTAGACCCCAATGGCCTTGTTCGAGATTTACGCCAGCGATTGCATGACAGTGAACAGCTTTCCAGAGAAAATCTTTTACCTCGAGAAGATTTGTCACATTGGGGAATCAGTCGCAATAATGATTTTACGATTCGAATTTCTGCCGAAGCGGAACTAAAACCCATAGATATATATACATGGGCTATAATTCTCAGCCCGTACAACCCCACTTACTGGACCAGCCGAGCTTATCTTCATTATGAGAAGGGATATTTTGACCTTGCTATCGGAGATGCATACCGTGCCCAAATGCTTTGTGAAGTTTTGATAAATCCACAATTACGAAACCGACAGCCAGGGTTGTACATTCGAATCTGGGATGCCCTCGAAAAGCATATATTACAGATACCCACCACGAACGCCAACAGAGCAGGTGCAGTCGAGTTATTACGGGGTTCGGACGGGATCAATTGTTTCATTCCAACCGTCTGCACAGCCATACATCACATTATTAGTCTAAGTTTACTCAGTCTGCATTGTTGGTCAGATTACGAAGCTATAGAAAGACCTTTAGCAGAAAGGCCAGTAGAGGAGGATGGGGCTACGCAGGAAATTAGGGAGCGATGGGCCAGAATCAAACCTCTCGTGGAAACTAACCAGCAAGGTCAAAGGAGCAATTCCGATGAGTACTTTTTCGAAACCAACTATGGCCATGTTATACTACGAGACTATCCATATAGCGCCCAGGATGTTGACAGGACGATTGATGTGTTTAAGAAGAGGATAACTGAACATTTCATTGGCAGATCGCAGGTCGTGAACTCCATGCCGAAAATCGCCGTCGACAAAGATACGGAGGGCAACCTTGGCGTTTATGCAGTTACAGATATCGAAGTGGGAGAAATTGTATACGTCGATGAACCGTCCATAAGAGGGCATCTTCATAATTTTATGCCCAATGATCAAGTGGAGCATCGCTGCGAAAATTGCAAAAGGCAAATCGAGGCGGATACGCTAGTATTAGCAGGACAAGCATTGGGAACAAACCAGCAAGTTAGTAGGAAAGATCTCTGTAGCTGCTCTAAACTCTCCTCAACCCCTTTATTTTGGTGTCCTCCACCGAGTGATGAAGATGAGCGTTCATCCTCCTCTCCAACCAGGATGGTCACCCGTTCGCAGACAGCAGCAACGAAGAGGCAGAGAACAGACGCAGAATCTCCAGACTCTGAGCCAGTCGCACCGCCAACTAAGAAGCTCCGATCATGTTTGGAGATAGCCCGTTCTCTCTATCATTACGACGCCTGCGGAAAAGATTGGACTTGGCTGCACGATTCCATGAGACCTCGTAGGTGCTTCCCATATACAAACGAAAGCCATGGAACGCTCCTGAGTTTGCTGCTTCGAGAAGTGTTTGACATTACACTTCATCGTCGAAAGGTTGACAAAAGACCTGCTCTCTTGGCGCACGAAATTGACGAGCTGCTACCCCTATTCGCAGGAAAAGCGAATGATAATTTCCCATTTTCTTTCTCAGCAAATGTTAGAGTACCCTTCGATATCCTGATGAGTCTGGGGGTGAACATTTTCCGGGATCTTACCTTTGACACGTGGGTAATCCAGTCGGTGCTTCGAAAACTTGTCCCTAATGTTATTCCATGGGACGCTCATCGACGGGGACCATTGGATCACCCAGAAGGGCAAACAATCAAACTGGCTCGCAGCAGTATGCACGGCACGACAGGACAACTGGAGCCGACACTCAGAGATCTATATATTTTTCCTGGCATGGCAATGTTCAACCACTTTTGCAACGACGCACACAACGTGATTTGGGATTGGGACTCATCTGTCCCGAATCGCATCATAATCTGGGCGCGAAAAAATATCCCTAAAGACGCAGAGCTCGTTTTGTCATATGCTAGTCGCCAACTATCGCACCAGAATGCCTTTCGCCTGTTCCAATCGAGATGCAATTGCCCGAAATGCATTGAAAATACAAGCAACGACAGCACTCCCTCATATCCTGGTAATTACGACCACCCTAGTCATCCACATACTCCATCAGGCTCGGGTTCAGTCCATAGTGGCGGGGGGAATAATCAGCCGTCTGGTCGGGATTCAGATCGAGGTCGTGCCAGCGCGAGCCCGAGTGTCCAGGACGACCAGGATGATACAGACCGACTGGAAAACCCAATACGCCAGATCAACGTAGATGAGAACTACGATGAATCTACGAGCTCTGGTTCTACAGAGATCCTCAGAGATCCTTAACGAATCTCTGCTCTGCTCGCTAGACGAGCATAACTATGGAATGTACAGGAGAAGGAAGCGGGAGCAGGAGCGGGAACCAGGACGGCAGCTGCTACAGGAGCAATTATAGAACAGTTTATCATAAACGAGTTGTTGCTTTCCAGGTTCCACGCCTTTATTCTTTTTGTGCTATTAGATTCCTCACTACTATTCTTTTCCTTCGTTGCCATCCTTACATAGATTGGGGCCACATATTATGTTCCGTTAGTTTCTTAATGCTTCCTAATTTTGTCAGTAATACGCTCCTTGCTGCATCCCGTTTTGCGTTTTATGAACCTAGTCGACAGAGTCTCCTACTAAGTGGAACAAATTGAAGTCAAGGAGGATAGCCATATATTTTGATTTCCTGCATTGGCTCTTGTGAAGGATAAAGAATTGCTGTTTTATCTCCGATTTTTTTAATGACATGAGAATGCAATTCATTCTCTCCTTCAAATTTATTCATCAAATTTCCCGAACGAAATATCATATTAAAAATGAGATTTTGGATCTCGAAGGGATATAGTTACTGAGATCGGAGTAAATAAACCAACCAATGGTTGCATATTTAAGTTTTACGGCACGCTCGATTGATGCCGACATTTGTAACTGCTCTGATTCATTCAGTGTTCTCTATGCGAGACCATAGCTTGCGGATTCTTTTTTCTTCCCGAACAATATCAATCTTATGTATCTTTTGAGATGGGTTGTATGTCCTGTGCCTATTTTGAAATATATTCATTGCCCCAATAAGAATACCATATATCTCCTGTGCACTGGCTGAGGGTATTAAGAGGCAGTCAAGAGGAAATTCAGGAAGTATTCAGTCCGATGATAAACTCTGTTAATGCTGTTTCTCCTTCAGACTTCAATCGGACGGGCGGAGTGGAACCACACGCAGAGTTCCACATTTTTGATCCAGATCCAGCCCCTTCTCGTGAGGGGAATCACATCATTATCATTATCATTATCATTATTATTATACTCTGTATTATTATTAGTTACTATTGCAGGAGGTGCATCAGCAAACTGTGGGACTAGTGCTGGCTTAACTTCCCCCAACACACTTGCTGGGCAATGGTCCTTGCATCGTGAAGCTTCGAAGGCGGACGGGATATTGCTGCTGACGATAACTACTAGCACGTTAGTTAGTTAACTAGCTGATATGTTCAGTTCCAGGTGATTGCAAAACCTTCAACATGAAAGCATATTCCGTGTGCCATTTCCAAGTTTCCAGATCAGCACTTAGGTTATTCATTATCCAGAGTCGATGGCAAGGAAGACAATATTTTGTCCTTTTCCTTGTTAGCAGCCGGTATGTGGCTACGAATCGTGGTTTGTTCTTAACTATCCGAGCCAGCAGGGGTGAGGTTTCAACTCTTGGGATTCACTTCGTCCCGTATCACCCGCATGTAGTGTTGGTCAAGTGATTCGATGGGCGTTGGTGGTGGATTTGGTCCCTTCAATAGCCTATGCTCATGAGACCAATCTTGCAGTTGGCTTTTCTAGCAACAGGCTAAACTTTTTTGTCAAAATTAGCAGGCTTCTTTCCATGCGCGAAATAGCAACAGCAAATTTCCGCGGCTGATCCATGGAACGACAACTTACAGAATTCTACCATATTTAATTAATATAAGATACTGGAATGCCGCTTTTGAGGTTTGATTGACGAGAAATCCCGACAACAGTTAATGTGCTCACATGTAGATGTTTTGCTGCCGCTTGTGCTATTGCATAATCTCCACGTAGATATTGGAAGTTTCTGCGGACATGCGTTAGAACATCTACTAAAATGATGATGGTCCACAGTTGCCTCCATCGACAATAAACAGTTATTGCAAAGCCCAATCCGGTTCATTGGGTCTTCATCGGTGTGCGCATATCTTTGAACTGCGGTTGATGTGGAAGCGCTTCATAGGCCATTCACAGATCAACTTCCTATCCCCGAGGCAGATTTGTACGGCACCAACCTCTCGCATTTGCGGTCCCTGGCAAGTTACGGTGGCGTGTAATTTGCCGATTGCAATCAAGATGAAATTTTTCCAGGGTTTGACGGCAAAAATAAGCTACGGAGAACGGAGCGCAGCAAAATGGTAAGCCCCGTTGTGCCATTCTGAATCACCGTTTGTCGCAAAATGATCGAATCACAAGCTCAAGGTAACAAATAGGCGTAGTAGTTATATCATTAATTGAAGTACAAAGACACCCGGTGATAGTCGCCACGCAGTGGGGCACGTTGATTCCAACGATTGCCCCGCAGTGCCTGAATCATGGCCAACCTTTGAAATTTGCCCAGTCGCCTAATTGCACCACAAAGGCGACGGGGATTAGCCAAACGGTGGCTAAAGGTTGCGGCTGTGTGGTGAGTTTGGAGGGGGATATATATGATTGTGGCCGCCAGATTTTGGCTTAACGGTGGATAGTGGTTGTTGATTGGGACATCCTGTAAAATTTGACGTATAATTTCTCTTGGGCAATCCACAGAACTTCATGTAGAATCGATGTCAGGCGGTTTAGGAGAACCCCGTCCTTGGATGGCATTGGCTCTCCAGGCGCGGCTATGAAACAGGCTGATGCCGTCCCCTGGACATCTGAGGCTGTGATATCAAAGAGAACAAACGCATTGTCAACGAAAGAGCCTCAGGAGTATGAATTTCCGGAAATCTGGGCGGTAAGGTCTGATATAACAAGGAGTCAAGGTCTTGGTGTGTCGCAGCGCGGCTCTTGCGGCATTCCTCGTGGGCCTATCGTGGCATGAAGGGGCAGTCCTGGGAGGACAAAACAGTCGATCTTCCGGCGCCGAAACATTCAGATGACCAGAATTGGATGTGTCCCGCCGGGTAATCAACGCCGCCACAGTCGGGTGGAGAGAAAGGAAGCCTTCCGGTTCGAACACGATGCTGGGGACTGCTGGATATCAATTTGCGGCACAGCAGTGCTCAGACGAATACCCTGTCTGATCCTTCGCGCGCCAACAAATCGCCACTCAAACGGCTGAGACGCCTTTTTTATCCTTGGTGGACCATGTCCCAGATCAATGGAGGTGGTAGATAGCCATGATTCAGCAATGTTTGTGGAGTGGGATGCAAGCCAACATACGGTGTTTTTTCTCGGGCATGCCATACTGAATTTTGCAAGGCTTGTTAACTACTTACACCCCTCTACAGGAAACAGAGGCAAGCCTGTGCCGCATCCAGTAACTTAGCCGCCCAAGAACGAATAGATTTATCTATCTCCCTCCCGCGAAACAGCCTGATCCAACCTCGTCCGGGTTGAACCCACAGGGGCCAGCAACAAAATAAGGGGCGCCGTTCAGGGCAATTTTGGTGCAGGTCTGTGATAACGGGGATTGGCTCCAGCCTCCAGGTGAGATTGGACTTCCAAGTTACCGATCGGGCATTTAACTAAGTTAGCGATGACTTGGGCGAGATTTCCTGGCTAGTTCTCTCGTTCGCTAACTTAGATAGGGGACGTGCGGCGGGGCTAATCGCCAGACGCGCCGTTGCTTGCTTCACATCCATCCTATCATTATGTGCAGGCAATTGAATCAGACGAGCCGTTGTTCGAATGATCCGCGGGCCGGTTTTGATGCCTTGATTTCTTGCCAGCATCGGTCGGGACAGGCAGAGGGGAATTGCCGATGCCTTCTCATACGCTCGCTATCTGGCTGTGACAGGCAACAAATCCATTTTTCCATGTCAACTAGGTCCCAGCTCGCAGTAGTTAGCTCAGTGGACATGATACTAATCCACACTTGTCCACTCTCGCTGCATTTTGGCGGGAGCTTTAATTGCCCAGGTACCTAGCGACTGCCTTTTCTTTCTCCATGATTTTTCCTGGTTGCTTCATAGCCCCCTGGGGTGCCAGCTGTTCGCTGTGCCGCAGATGGAACATCCTCTGGGTCCTCCAGGCTACAATTCCACTTTACATCATATCCGGAGTACTTTATCTAGCACTTAACGCCGTTGCAGTGGTTGGCTTTCCAATTGGTTGCGCATCTCTACCCCTCCGGCTCTGCCACTGAGCATGGCGGGACCCGGAGACACCAGCCTGGTTTCCTGATTGATATATCTCCCCTGACCGGCCTTGAGCGACCGTTACTTCGATTCTTTTTGATCTACATGCTGGCTAGGGTAGAACTGCACTGTCCATTGATACGCGGCTGTTTGACCGTTCCTCCACGCAACATATCCGCTTCCTTGTTGAGTTGGGAACCGGACGCAATAGCTATTTGTCTATTTGTGAAGCTGTGCGCCTCCTTATACTTTCCTTTTACGGCAAAGCACTTTCAAGCTGGATTTTCGTCTTTTGCGCGGCTTCAGAACAACTACAAAAGGAGCTCCAGAGCAGCATGAGATTCAGTTATTTTTCCCCTTCCTTCTCAAGCTATCTTTCATTAGTATTTGAGTTGTTTTCTAAAGGCGCTTTAGAATTTTCGACTTTCGGCTACTGTGTGATTATACTCCTTAATAGCGACTTCTCCTTCCCTAAGTCGTGTTCCCATGTCGGCTCCAACGAAACAACTGGGGAACCTATCTCTTGGTGGCAGGATGTCAACCACTCGTGGACAAGCAGAGAGACGCGGTGCAGTAGATGACGAGGAAGAAAATTCCGCCAGTAGCTCGTCTGGGGAAGAGGAAGTGGAGGATTCCGCGCCTGGATCAACCAAGTCCCTCGTCACAGGAAATTCGGCCATTTTGTACAACGTTTCCGGGCTTTCAGGAGAAGTAAGAGCTAGGGCACTGTCGGGAATCTTGGGGAAATTTGTTGTCGATAAATGTCGTGCGTCACAAGACGGATATGACTTCCAGGTCCTTGACCATGGGCTGGTTCACTTGGGGAATGGGCCAATGACTTGCTCCTGTTCGGAATATGGGGATGGTCCGAAAGCCTGCCGACATATATTTGTAAGAGGTCGTTATTATGAAAATTGACACTGCTTGAAGGAGCTAACATTCGTTCGCTAGTGGCTCGTCGACCAACTACATAGATTGACCCTTCCCAAAGGGCCAGGCCCAGGAATCTCCCTCTCACGTACTGGTCAATCTCCGAATTTCCCTCCGTTGTACGAGCTTATCGGCGGTCGTATGGAAGATATCTTGCTAAAAGCTCGCTGGGCCTTAGTTGATGATCCAAGCTCCCCTGAATTTTCAGAACAGGAATCTGGTACATCTATGAGTCGCCCCGAAAAAGTGAGGGACATTCTCTCTGCCTTCAGTGAAGCCACGATGCCTGATGACTTCCGCCCTGACCAGGCGGAAACTATCCGCCAGCCGAGAACACCAGAGCAGTGTGTTGTCCAGGGTGACTTTGAAGCAACAATGTTCCGCCTGGCAGTTCACGACGATAATGTCTATCGCAGCCTTCGCAAAGCAATGCCTGCACCTGCGCGCTGTGCTATATTCTTTGACAAAGTCCAAAAAAAGACTCGTGCCTTGCTGGTTGATTTTGACCGCTACTGCCAATATGGGACTCCCCAGCGAGACGGGACTGCGTTGGAAATCCGTGTTGTCGTCGAGCGGCTGCACGAACTTGTCTCTCTGGTCGCAATCAACATTGCCCCTCGCGCGCCCGATAGCCATAGGAATGCACCAGATGCCCTGATCGGGATACTTCGGGATGTCGTCACTTACAACTACAATGCGTTTGATGGCAATGCTTGGGGCCGCATCTCGCCCGCAGGAGAAACAGAGAATGATTGTAACTTATTTGCACAAGTGATCGGCCAGCCAGAAGTTTCAGGTCAATACTTCGTTCTCGATGTTCTGGAAAGCCTGCCGCGAGCGGTCCTTAAGGAATGGGAGCCCCAGCTGGTGACCATAATGAGCAAGATCCCAATGTCCAATCAGTCGATGGTGACATATCTACAGCAATTCCAGGTTTTGCTGAATAGGGAATTTCCAGCCACGGGATTCGGGGTGACCGCATCTGGGCACAAAAGGCCCGCAGGAGGAGCGTCTGGTAGCGGCCGAAAGCGACCTAAATAAGTTCATCTGGTTCCAGCTCCACCTACCATTCGCTTACCAAACGTTATCGATACTCTACACACCCTCGGAGAACTGGCAAATAACACTAGAATGGTTTCTCAACCTGCACGTGGAATCCACGCCCATGCGCTAGACAGAGTAAGGCTGAGGAGACTCTGGACACAAACTTGCTGTTTTCCTTTTATATTTCTCCATATTTACTGTTTTAGGTTAATTTACAAAGTCAGTGAAGCGGGCTTCTCTGCGTTCTGATATCGCCCTCTTAATGTTTACCCCTTTTTATCTCCTCCCCCTTTAATTTTTACTCAGTATTTTTAATATGAAAGTTTAATATCCTAGTGATAAGCAGCCTTCCAAGTTTCATTGCTTCGTTATTTTATATTCACTGAGTCTATTTCCCCAGTACCCCGAACTAATAATTAATTCCCCCCCCCCCAAAAAAAATCGCTCATTACTATTTTGTAATTTAACGGACTCTTCTTGGCAACCTAAGGCGAAGCCGATCTCATGTGCTGTATACAGATCTGTATATATGTAGTCTTCCGTACGGTTCCCTTTCGGACAGGGATAAAACGAATATGGAAGAAATATAAATTTAAACCTGTACAAATTGCAAACTATTTACATGAAAACTCGAGCTCCTTGAAGATGCGATCCGGAGGAGCAGCAAAGAAAAAAAAAAAAAAATTAAAAAAATAAATAAAGGTTTCGCGCAGCGCAGAATCCAAATATTAGGTTTTAAAAAAAATTTGTAACGACTCCATATCTAAGTTAAGACAGGTCAAGCACCACCCTCCCCTTAAGATCCCCCCTTTCCATTTCCTTGAATACGTCCGTTAGTGCATCCATTTTCTCCGTTCGGAAATGCACTTGGATAATCCCCCGCGCCCCGAATTCCATAGTCTCAATTGACTCCCGCTTAGTTCCCACTGCAGACCCTACGATGGAAAGCTGTTTCCCGATAAGGTGCGCAGGGAACGACGACCCAATCGGGAGGGGCACGTTCTCTGGTATTCCAACACAGACTAGCACACCGTTCATGCGGAGCAAATACATCCCCTGCGCATACGCAGCGTTCGAGGATGTACAGACAATAACGGCATGGGCGCCATGGCCACCGGTCAGGGACTGGACGTGTTCCGCCAACTTGCCGCCTTTGGGCTCGTTGTCCGTGAACTGCGTGATGTCGATAAAGTGTTCCGCGCCAGATTCAAGGACGATATCTCTCTTGCTGCCGTGGTCGATACCGATAATACGGTGTCCTAGGCCCCTGCTGCCTAGCTGGGTTGCAATATGGCCTAGGCCACCTCCGGCACCTGAAATAATGACCCAATCTCCCGGCCTGGCTTGACTGCGCTTAAGGGCTGAATAAACGGTCACCCCGGCGCAGAGTAAAGGGGCAGCCAGGTCGGAGGGAAGTGAGTCTGGAATCGGAGTCACATAGCTTGCTGGCGACGTAACGTATTGCTGGAATGTGCCAGGAGTGTAGTATCCAGAAACTTTCGATTTCACACAGCAGGCATCTACACCCGCGCCACAAGGTTCTTATACGGGTCATTTGTGGTTAGTGTCGCACGTCGTCGTGGTGATGTTTCTGGGTGTAACTTATATATAACTTACCACAGTTGCCGCAAGCATATTGCAGCCATTTGACGCCCACGCGAGCTCCTAGCTCTACTCCCGAGCTTTCTGTACCCGGACCGAGTTTGACGACCTTTCCAACACCCTCATGGCCACCAACTTGACCAGCTGCTGTTGGAGCCGGGAGGTTTTTCCACTGAGAAAGAGAGTGTTAATATAATAGGAACGGAAGATATGCAGGGGTATGTCAAGCGACATACCCTATTAGTCATGATGCCATAATCTGAGTGACAAACGCCAGAGTGAGTCCTGTTGTGTTTAAATAAAAATATTATAAATCAACATATTGTCCTTAAAGTGTTTTGAGAGCTACGCATCAATGTAGAACACGAATATGGCGTGATCCAACAAAGACAACAAATGGGAGCTTGAACATACAGATTAATCAAGACTTCTCCAGGACCAGGCTCGGGCACATCCACAGTCACGACCTTCGTTGAAATGGTTCCCGGGTTATCATAGACAATGGCCTTCGCCTGTTTGGGGACTTCAGCTATTTCGCCCATGGTCGATAGTCCAGACGCTGTCTCTTTTGGTTTGATTCTGCAATTGGCTTCAGAACTTAAAGGGCGTTATTTATTTTAGTGAATATTGTGGCAGAAGCTGACTTCATTCAAAACTGGAGATATCATCCTGTACAAGTAGCAGCTTTATACCACTGCTCGACTCCCGAATTACCGAAGGGAGCAACGAGGAGACCCATAGGCAGCCGCGGTAGAAAGAACCTATGCCGGTGGACCTTGAACATATTTATTGCTTTCAAGTGCCACATCCCCACTTTCAAGGTGAGGGGGGATCCGCTGCCAGGCCATTTGAGATGGTACATATATTAACACCATTGAACTCGATGAAGATAGCAGCAGCTGACGAGGCCTTCTCCTTCTAGAGAAGCCAGTGATGGGCGATAGATAGCCGGGGCCGATGGACTATGATGATGTTTTTCCAGATTCCTTGATGTAAATTATAGTTATATCTCCCACCTCCTAGGAACAAGCGGCATGCCCAGGCCCGTGTGGAGGGGTAATTCGATCTCTCCAGGGCTCGGTTCCACTGGTGCAGGATGCGGAGAGTTCAATGCCGACGGCTCAAAGATAAAGTTTGAATTCTTCTAAGGGCAGAACGTTGTTGAGGCAAATTTTATTGTAGTGTTTGGCCAATGCCATTATAGATGTTAACTGCAAGTATTGATGTAGTTGACCTTTGATGCCCCAGAATCAGCGCCGGTATCAGAACATTTGACCATTCGTCCGGCTGCTCACTGATAAGCGCGGTGTCGAGCCGAGCAGGACATGCGCGCATCCCATTCTCGTTACAAATTGACCCTGCTAGCGCTGAGTTAACTTAGGGGGAAATTTTCCTTAGCCTGGCGGGAAAGTTTTCGGCTTGATATTTGATACGCGGGGAATAGCTCTCTGTCAATGACCCTCCGACACCGGGAGGATGTTGAACCCACCATCCAGAGTACGTGGTGAATTCAACCCGTCTGCTCTGGTCCAGCTGGCTCAGAGACTGCGAAATGTATATTGCACATGTAACGCCTCGCAAAAGGTTGGCTGGTGGTGGTTTCAACTGGGCTGTCATTATCTCCATTGACGACGGCGTGGAATGGCTCTTTCGGTCCCCACGCAAGAGTTATGGCCTCGAGGAGACGACTACAAGAGATATGCTTGCCAGCGAGGTTGCCACGCTCAGGCACCTCAAGCAGAACAGCTCCATTCCTATTCCAGCAGTATACCATTGCAGAAGAGAAGCAGAAAGTTATGAGACTGTTAGGCCGTATCACAGCCCAACTCTCGCAAATTCGTTTTGGCAAGATAGGTTCTTTGTTTGAGGAAGAAGGCTGTTTCACTCTGAAGCCATGTTTCTCACCTGGCTTCCTGTTTCGTGACCGATGCTATCTACAGGGGATCTTGAAGAAAGGGAATATTATTTACAAGGCACTCCTTTCGGCATACTTTGGACGCATACAGCATCTGACATTAGAACATCATGCGTTCTTTGCACCCGTGCCGGTTCCTAGAGAATACGAAAACCACGCCAGTTATCCAGAGGCGACTGACCGCTGGAACGATTTCGTAACGCTAGAATCAAAATCGAAAACAGTGGGAACAGGGTGGATTATTTCATTGCCGGCCGATAGCTTAAGAAAATGATACCGAGCTTCCTGGATCGCCCGGAAGGATACAGCAGCCATCCTTCTAGAAAATTTGCTCTTTACCACCCTGACCTGAGTGCGAACAATATTTTCGTCGACCAAATGTGCAACGTCACTTGTATATCGACTGGGCGTTCTCATCTACCGTACCGATAACCCTTCTGCTTTCTACGCCGGGTCTGCCTTAACCGAGAGACGAGTGGGAAATATCCTTAACATCATCGTTCCGCCCTGGCTTCACCGAGCACTTTGATGAAAATATTAGTGTTTGTCCTAAAGCTTAGGAAAAATGCGAGATGGTTTGGCTTTTAATGCGCTTGGTCAATCTGGATCCCTTGCAAGACTATCACGTATTCGCAGAACTCTATTTCTTGTTTTATGACCAGCGGCCTCCGAATCTATTGGCGGAATTCAAGGAACAATATGAAGAAAAGGCCGTAATGAGAATGCGAATGATTCTTTCCGCTGATGACGAAACAGCAGCTGACATCGAATGACACGCAAAAGACTATTTCTCCAACGTCGGCATGGAGCGCTGTGTCTTAGCGAAGAAGCTCCACTTGGTTTCGGCGCTGAACAAACAAACAGTTTGTTGCTGATAGACTACTCTGACACTGCGTGGCTAGAGCAGTCTGTGGAAGTTCAACAAAACGTTGATGTACAGGTACATCCTTCGTGTGAACATGATTGGTATAGCACCAAGTTCTACAGCAAGGCAGCCCTCGCAGCGAGGCGATCTTGTGTAGATAGGGTTCTTCCCGCAACCAGAGATAACTTACAGACGGCGCTTTCAACCAAATTATCTACATGTTCTCACAGCTACCGATGTGGAAGGATCAACATATATTTGATTAGGTCGGTTCAGGAAACGAAGCCAACCAGCAAAGGACGGCGTTGACTATATCCTGCCTAACCTCTCGCCTTTTCTGTTCCCACTGACTAGTTACCAACTTGGGTTGAGCCGTGGAAGAACGGATGTGGCAGAACTCGTGCTCATGCAAGGTCAAATCAGCCATGGTCCTGTTACTCGATAGAAGCCGAGATTGAAACTAAGTCAACCACAGCAGGGCCTTATTCGTCCTGGCTAAAAATCGATACCCAGGGTGACGAAAACATCCTTCAGTCAGTCACACCTCTCCATGGACAGTCTGTTGTCGACACCATCGACAGTCTCGCTCTCAATTACACTTACATTTTATCCGCCATCTTTATTTCAGTGAATGATGTGAACATGAACAAACACGAATCCCACTCGCGTCAACGATTTGCATACGCAGGCGTATTTTTGGATTGACCATGAACACATCGACTGCTCCTCTAGTCCAAGTGGCCAGTTTGGCGACTCCATGTCGCTCCAAGTGGACGACTTTGGGGGAGTGAAATGAAATCCAGTATTCAATTAGGGCAAAAAGCAGAGCCCGAGAAACAGGAAACGTGTCTCTTGGGAATATTTTTGGCATCAACTCCATCTGATACAGCTTTCACCAAAAATTACTTCGTTATTTACCAATTACCAAACCTATTAAATGGGGCATCTCCCAGGCCAGGTGCTAATGAAGAATAAACGATTATATTACCCGACATCCACAGTATTTGCTAGCACAGAGTAAGTCGGGGAAACAAAGGTGCTCTACTTGTGTACTCAGTGCATTCGCCTGCCAACCTTTAGGTTCGCTGAAAAGATATTCCCAATTCCCCCTCTACGTCTTCACCATCCGCATCTCCATCCGCATCTCCATCTTCCTCGAATCGCCCACAGGCCGTTATTTATATCGGGGTAAAGCGGAGCAGACATTTATCGCCTTTGGGGATAAGGAGAAAATGATCTGTGATATCCATCGCGTCATCTCTCATCGTATCGTCGATAGTAATATGAAATCTCCTCACCAAAGTTGCAATTAGAATCTTCATTTCGAACAGCCCCATGGTGCGCCCCATGCAATTCCGAGGACCCTTAGAAAACGGCATCCAGAGCTTTTTCATTCCTTCACACACATTTCCTTCAAGCCAACGAGATGGATCAAACTTATCGGGGTGTGGGAAATATTCAGGGCTGTGATGAGTTGTCCAGGTGTGTGTTGAAGCTATAGTCTATATGGGTGGCCATGGACCGGGGGGGAACAGAGATGCATCCGTCAGTAAGGCTCTAAGTAAGGCTCTGTTCCAATATGCCCTTGATTGAAGGAAGGGCTTTATTCTTTGTTACTCACTCCTTGGGGTACATATATGCCGTCTATGGCACATCCACCAACAGGGGCCTCCCTGAGGAGACCAGATGGGAGAGGCGGGTAGGCTCGCAATCCTTCCATTATAAGCGCTTCTAGAAATGGGACATTTGATACACTCTGGTGTTGGATGACTCCATCCACTAATGGAAGGTCGGCGAGCTCGGAACGAAGTCGCTCTGCCAGATGTGGATTACGTGCGAGCTCCCAAAAGAGATAAACCAGAGCTGTCCCCGTGGTATCGGTCGCTGCGAAACAAAGATTGCTGATTTCCACGGCAATATCGGAATCAGCGAGTGCATCTGGATCATTCTCTTTTCTGCCAATCATCTTGGTTAGCAAATCTCGGCGTTGGGAGACACGGCCATATTTTTCGATGTATTCATTAAATCTATCAATCCCGTACTGGTTGGTACAATAGGAAGTGGTCAGCCAGCAGATCAATCGGCGCTCAAAGATGCGATGCAGCTATTCTGAAGAATGGAGCGGGTAACGCCTGGAATGCCTGCAACTGGTCCAAACTCACCTGGTAGATGCGCGCTTCTGCATCGAAGACGAACTTAATTTTAGGATGAGGTATTTTCTGCACAAACCAAGCTGGTATGGGGAAAGTACTCTTAAATGCCCATGCCAGTAAAAACAAATCAAAGTCTTTTACGTATCGTGGCGACTCGTCGGAATCCAGTCCTCCAAAGGTCGCCCCAAGGAAAGCTTTGCCTGCATTATCCAGAGTGTACATTTTAAACCAATGCTTCATATCCAAAGCTTCTCCACCCTGCCGCTCCATTCTGGCCACCATCTTCTTCACTGAATTTCGAAATTCTGGCTCCATGTCATCAAGATGTTGTTTTGAAAACGCATGGTTTAATAACCGTCGTCGCTCCCTGTGTGCTGCTGGATCCGACAAGTGTAAGACACCTGGGCGACCCATTGTCATATACATTGGTGCTTTGCGGAATCGAGTCCCCGTTCCATAGATAATATCAATGCTCTCCGCACTGGAGAAGCTGAGTTCGTTGGGCCCAAGTTGCACCACTGAGCCGTACTTCTCATGGAGCTCGTGAACTTTCATGGCTCGCCGTCCGGCAAGATCCACGCACAGCAACCATCCCCCTGTGAGCTTTGCGAGAATCGGCCCCGGTAGCTTGCGGAATGGGGACAAAAAAAGCCTATTCACAACCTATACAGCTCGCGCATTGGTCATTAGTGGAATCCCCAACGCCGTATTTATATTTTCCATTCTGTGGGAGATGCACGTATATATATGTGTGTCTACAAATATATATTTGCGCCCAAAGTAAATGTATAGAAGAGGCTCACTTTCGCAGCGGTGACGATAAGGAGGAGGCAAAACACACCAAGGCATGCGGAGGCTGCGTTCGGAGGTACTGCTAAACGGGAAGACATGATTAAATCGTGAGCTCCTGGAACTACACGCGATACCGGGATGAATAACTAACAGGGTAGGATCATTTTTCCCCATCCATGAAAGTTTACGAGTAGCGGAAAGAGAAACACAGAAAGAAGCGGCAAACGCTTATTTCACCACGGTCTCTGAAAATATTTTCACAATGATATCAAACTACAAAGTTTATCGGCGGAGACTTATATATAGTTCTCATGACATGGATATCTTGGAACCCGCTTCCGAGAGCTGCGGGTACCTTATACGTACTAACTATCTAAGGTGCATGATCACATAATGGAATGGAGCCATACGCATCCCATTGTGAATGGTAGCAACTGCACATTCGTGTGACTGTCATACCATGATCACAGAACATCCACCAATCATCATCTGCGGATAGGCGACCAAATCCCTACATACAAAGAAAAGCAACACTGGCAGCAGTCAAAACAAAGCAATGCCGTACCCGAAATCTCGGAATCACACGGATCCACCATGCGCCGCTCTGCTCGCTCCACGAGTAAAGCAAGCGTGTTCCCTACCCCGCTTGCAGAAAAAAGAATTCTCGATGCGATTGCCACTCCCACTACCCCTTGAGACCGCCAGCCACGCCTAGAGAAAACAATGATAACATGATGTCTTTCTCGTATTGACGACCCGGACGTTTGGGAATAGGAATATATTGTTGGTTTTTCAGCTCTCTGATCTGGTGCAACGATTTGAATTCGCTGGACATGACTGGATATGCTTTTCCTCTGACCTCTGACCCCTCTTACACGGCCACATAATCATTGCATGCACATGCACGCGAGCCGAGTACTGAGGACCTGTGCAATTATATTTGGTCCGTGCGCGCTCGACGTAGACGTACGGCGCATGCAAAAACCCATATACATATATCATGCTGCCCAACATGCGCGAGGAAACGTGAATCGAACCGCACTGCCCAGCACTGAAGGAACCGATTGCAGAGTCAATTTCACTCTGATGACAATGCAAGCCTCTCCTCATCTTTGTTTGTTCTCTTTGTTGAGGAAACTAGGCAGGCAGTCCTTGAGAAAATTTGCTTTTTGTTTCGTGAGATGAGCACGTCGGTCGCTGTGCATAATAATGGGGTAGCCAATAAATGCGTGTATTGTGCGGAGTTCTCTACTGTAGGGAGGTCCGCAGATCCATCAGGCTGCCGGAGTGACTAGGTGAATTGCTTCCACCCCCGATTACATAGCATCTGGCAAGCGCTTTTAGTTCTCCGCCGCCGCGTTGAGGGGATTAGAAAGCACGTCTCTTTAGATTCTGTATAGCATGGCTCATTTTCAGTCAATTTTTCTCTCGGTAGTTATAAGACATACATACAGCAGAATACTAAGGGACTTTTTCACCTGCCTCCCTTTTCAAAACATCCCTTCAGCACAATCCGCGTCGCACAAAGTAAACTTCTCCGGAGTTAGATGCAGAAGTTTAAATACCGATCGAACTTCGGTCGTCTCATTTGTGATTGTAAATAAATTATAAGAAAGCCCCGGCCAAACCAAATAGAGTAAAGGGGTACATCTAGGAAAAGCAAACAAAAAAAAAAAAAAAGCTACCAGACACGAACAAGAGTTAGGACATATCAAGCCGCAAAAGCGGCCAGGCCACCGCTGAAGAAGAACAATCGCGGGGAGGAAAGGCGGGTTGTAGAGAGAATACGAAGAGGCAATGGCCAACTGACAGGTACATCCTAACCAACCAGAACACGCAATAATAGTGTAGTCCCGTAGGAAGAGAGATATAAAAAAAAAATAACAAAAAAAAAAAAAAAAAAAAACTTCCCATTCGCCCTCTCCAAGCCATCCTCTCTCCAACGCCAAACTCGCCTACCTCTTCCTAGTCGTCGCTTCACCCATGCCCTCACCAGCAGAAGTACCTGAAAACGCACTCACACCTTCTTCCTCGGGCTCAACCCTAACAAGCACCTCCTCCAGGAACCCCTCGAGAAACGCATTGACATCCCCGCCCATTCCCACAGGCGCCTCATTGTCCCACCTTTCAATTTCTTTAAAAATTCCCGCAGCCTTGATAACTAGCCGCTTCAGTTTCTCGTGCGCGTACTGGCGTCGTTGGAGGAGTTCTAATGCGACGGGATTGCTGTTAGCGCTATTATTACTATTAGTGTTTTTGGCAGGGACACCTGCGCCTGAGCTACGGGCAAGGGCGTTGAGATTGTAGGTGCGCCGGCGGAGGGCAGCTTCGAGGGCAGGGAGAACGACGCCGCTTAGAGCGGTTATGTCATTAGTTTGGGAGTGTGGAGCTGGCGAAAAGGCTAGGGAGGATGACTGGCTAGAGTCGCTGGACTTGCGTTGCTGCTGTTGCTGTTGGTGGCGTTGTAGCTCCTGTTCAAGTTGCTGTTGGTGCTGTTGCTGGTGATGTGGCTGTTTGCTCGTTACATCTAGTGGTTGCGTGGTCGGCAGTTGTGGAAGTCGTTGTTGGTGGATGGGCGGTAACGGTTGTTGGCATTGAATAGAGCCTAAGGGATGGTGTGCCAGAGGTGGAAGGGGATGTTGTTTAGAGGATTTTTGTTGCCGTGTGGCCTGTGTTGTTGTGGGACTAGGTGATTGATTGGATGTATCCCGGAGTGCGTTCGCCTGATGTCCCTTGAATGGCGGTATTTCAGGTATGTGCATACCAACCGGCTTCCTTGTGATCTGCTCTTTGGCCGTGGGTTTTGGACCAATTGCGGGAATGGATGTAGGTGAGGGTTTTTGTATTTGGTGTGAAGCGTTCGAGTCGCCAGGGGATTCACGAAGTCGAAGAAACCCGATATCTTGAGCTAATGATTTTTGCAACGCTCTGTCATAATCACTCGTGCTGGGACTTTCCTTATTGGGAGGTTGTGGGGGTTTTGCAAAGTGTGAAGGTGTCTTGGGTGCCGATTCCTGGAAAGCCTTTTGTTTCTGGACAGATGGCGGCAGTGGAACTCTTGCCGCAGATATCGGTGAAGTCGGGAGTGTAATTGGGAGGTTCCCTTTTTGAGGAGATCTCGGGGGTGAAGGTGGGGCCTTCATGGTCTCCTTCGAGGATTTGTGCTGGATATGCAAGTCAGTCAGTCCCTTCCGTGGTTCGATTGGAGATCTTCTTGCGTCTTCATGCGCCTGCGTTCTTGCATTGGCCGCCGCATCGTTCATCGCTCGCAGTCCACCCGCTCTTCCGCCGGCAGGTCTCACAGTACCGAAATCCCACAAGTCCTCTTCCTCAGGAGTAGGCTTATGAGGGGGTTGATAGTAGTCTTGCTCGTCATCGTCATCCGCTGATCGATTTCCATGAACAGCCTGCCATCTTTCTGATCGCTCAATCAACTCCGTCAGATACGTAGTTTTCTTTGCTCGTTTGATAAAAGGATGTTTGAGAAGCTCCTTGGCTGAGGGACGCTCTCTTGGGTCTCTCTTCAAGCACAATTCAACAAAGTCCTTAAACGCTTTGCTGAAGTTTCCTCGCAGAACAGGCGGCGGATTCTTGGGAATCAGGAAGAGAACTTTCATTGGATGGATGTCAGCGTATGGCGGCTCGCCTTGCGCCAATTCAATGGCCGTAATTCCCAAGGACCATATGTCTGCTTTGTGGTCATATCCTGATTGTTTGATAACTTCTGGAGCCATCCAGAAAGGGGTGCCGACAAAGGTGTTTTTCTTGGTCATGGTTGCAGAAAGTTGCCCAGAGACGCCAAAATCTGCCAATTTGACTTGACCGTTTGCTCCAAGAAGTATATTCGCAGCTAAGTTATAGCACCTGTCAGCTCCGGTGACTATGAAATTAATATTTGAAAAGAGGACTGGCCACCTTTGATGTCTCTATGTAGCTTCTTGTCACTGTGGAGATAGTCCAATCCGAGTAGCAGTTCTCTGAGAATTATCATGATATATTCCTCAGTAATGAGGCCCGCACGCATCAAATCGCAGCAGCTCCCGCCCGAACAAAACTCCATTATAATCCATAGGTCTGAGCCCTTCAGAAACGAACCGTGATATTTGGTGACATATGGCGAATTGAGCTCGGACAGGATAGAAATTTCTTGAATTATATCTTCGACTTCGTCGTCAGCATTTTCGACGTCGATGATTTTAATCGCGACAGCTTGACCTGTTCGCTTATCGACTCTACAATGGAAAAGGATCACCGGAGCCATTAGCCAGTGCTCCCAGCGCATGAAGAGGAAGACGGAGAAAAGCGATTCAAGCCATACCCTTTGTATACTTTTCCAAAGCTCCCACCGCCTGCAAAGAAGTTAGCCACCAAGAGATATATATCTCCAGATTTTTGTCACGAAGTCCTCTCGACATACCGATACAGTTCTGCTTGGTGTAATAGGTTTCAGGGTCAACAGCACCCTCCATTTCCGCGGAAACGCAGCGGTAATTCAATCACTTGTTGAAATATCCAATAGACGGGATTGCGACAGCCTGTGGTGTAGACACTCCTCCGATACAATTGATATTCCTTCCTAACAGCAGTGGTCGTTGGGGGTTTATGTTTGGGGAGGAGGTATCTGGGCGGGGGATCCAGGATCACGGACAGAGTTGGAATGAATATATTGCCCAGTGAGGCAGATCTTAGCGTAAATCAATTCCTTTCTTCTTTGGTAACTATCGTATGGTCACAAGAGATTGGTTCGAAGAAGAAAAAAAAAATTTGTCGTCGCAGGGAGTAGTTTGTTTCGTGAGATCTGTTTATTTACGGCGTACAAGGGTGTCTGTCAGTCAACACCAAACCAGTTACGGTGCAACAGATAGGCCCTTTTCAAGCTGCGGAATAACAGTGGAAGTGACATACCGTCGCAGTCATTAGATCATTGAGCGAGGCGTTTACATCGGAGATATCTGCTTCCTGGCAGGCCGGGTGCTGACCTGGGTATTTAAGAATAAAGCGCTGCTGAATGCGGTGTAGCGAGGAAAGTGTGGGTGAGGTGAGACGACCCCAGTGATACGGAGGCCCGGTCAACAGCAAGGCGACAAACGGCATATCACACACATAATGAATGTATGGGGTGTGCATCCAAGAGCAGGGCAATATTTCAAGTTATGATTATCCCTCGTCAAAACCATCAAGGCACCAAACGTGCTTCTACGACTTGTCAACAAACACCACCTCTCCCCGCTTTGTTCCCGGGTCAGGCCAGGCACCAGAGCTTGAAGCTAAACGGCCGTTCCTGGGATAGCGGGATCTCTGGCGTGGTTTGTGATCCACTGATACTACCGCGTATGCACCACAGCAGGATGTTATTGGGCCAGCAGATCTCCTGAACTCTGGTAGCCCAGGCCTTGGATCATGGATGGAGAGAGTAGTTGTTGTTGTGGTGGTGGTTGTTGTTGTGGTTGTTGCTGTGGTTTGTTGTTTGTTTTGCTGGGTTTCTTTGCTCTCCGCCAATCGCTGGCGACGGCTTCAACGGTTGTGAAACGGCAGCTGAGTCAGTCATGAGTCATCATTTTTTGCTTCTCACTCCTCCCAGTGTATGTATCCTTATCTACAGCATCTATTGTACAAAAGGTCAAACCTTTATGCACATCCATCCTAACTCAGAGCTGTTTCCAATTTTCAATTCAGGGCACTTTTTTATGGAACCATTTATCAGATAACTATTGAGGGGGAATTATTGTTTATTGTCTGTCAGCCCATGAACAGCTGGAACCGAAGGTATCGCCCATGGAATCATCAGCTTAACGTGGAATTCACTGAAGAGAACCATGCAATGAGGACTCTGGATTCCCGCACTACTCCTGCCTGATCTTGGTCATACAGGAATTCGCATTTGACTGCACATTCTGTCCAGTCCACAGACTCAATTCTCAGAGGCGAACGAATTCAGCAGCGCTGAAAGCATCGGCTCTACCTTGAGTTGGACGGAAGACGCTCTTGAACTGAACTTTGGGATATTGATTGCTCAAAACTTCACCATGCGTGACATGAATTCAGAACGCAGTCAATGCCGTTGCCATAGTGACTCGGCTGCATGCATCTTTCTTGACTGAGAGTCTGAGGCTTGACCCTTCTCCACGCGGCTCCCCCCAGCAGAGCTCCTCATTGGTTCCATCGGCGGAGCCCCAACCCTTACTTAACCTTAACCTTAGTCCTGGCAATCAACTCTCTCAACACAGTTGAACCGCAACAGCTCTTTTCAGAAGCCTGATCCAACATCATGGCATGGCCTTGGGCCAAAAACTCGTGCTTATGCTTACAGGCTTGCAGACTTATCTGGGCCACATTGAGCATGCTCCTCCTCATGATGCATTTCCTCTCGTTCCTTTTCTTCATAATTAATGGCTGTGACAACCTACGCTGTATGCGCAGGAGTAGCAAATTCAATAATTGAGGCCTGACATTCCAGCAGCTGCACCACCCCACCATGGTTCTCGAATCTCCTGCCGCCATACGATGACCACGCAAGGCTGGCCACAATCTTGACTTCCAATTTGGATACCATGTACAAGTATCGTTGGTCGGTGAGGCGCTGTTGACGGGGGGAGGGAGAGAGGCTGCATCTCTACTGAGGCCTGAGGATAAGATGGATTTGTTTTACTTACGGAGTACTCCATGCGGACATCATGCGCGCGCTAATACAGTTAACTTCCTTTACTTGGGCGATTTTTTTTTCCTTTTTCTTTTTTCTTTTCTTGGGCTGACCTCAACAAAATATCAAGATGTCATGGTCCGGGGGGGGAAAAAAACTCTCCTTTCAGGAGGTTACCATTTTGGTCTATGAATGCTCATGCTACCAAAGCAAAGCCAGCGCCATTTCCAGTTTCTAGTTCCAGTTCCAATTCCAGTTGTCATTACCATTACCATTAATTACCATTAGCCCTAACCTAATCCTCATCCCATCCCCATGCTCTAAAGGTTCTTTTTCTGTGCATCCAAACAGAAATTCAATCCTCTACAAAGCCAATCATCACAGTTCCATTCTTCAACCCCGCATCCGAAATGCTGACATCCAACATCCCAATCAAATTCTGGCCCATCGAGACAAGCTCAAACTCCACACCGGCCTTATCCTCTGACAACGGCGACGCTTTTAGCCACTCATAGATGCGCCGGACGGGGTCGGATAGGTTGAAGCGCCTGATCACGCGGCCGGTTGGGTGGCGGAATTGAATTCGGGTTACGGTTGCCGGGTCCGGGTTGGGTTCTGTGTGGGGTTTGTTGGGGGAGATGGAGGCGAAGGTCGGGTTCTGGTGGTGTGAGTCTTCCGCTTGTTCTTGTTGCTGTTGGCCGTTTGTCTCTGCGTCGACATTCATGTCGTCATCTAGGCTGGATGCCTTCCCCTTCCCCTTCCCCTTGATGTCGCCAATGCTCCTCGTCAGGTCATCGGGATCCTCGTGTCTGCCCTTCACGTTATTATTCTGGGTCTGGCTCTCCAGACTATTCTTCAGGGCCATCTCCAGCATTTCCTCCTCAGTCATTGTTTCGAGCTTGCGCTCCGGTTTTACCTCCGGCTTCCGCCTGGCGACGGGATTCCGCACAGTGTGGTCTAAGCTGTAGCGATCGAGGAACTCGTGGACTTGCATCAGGAAATCCGATGGTTTAATAACGGGGGGTCCAGTCCATGCTTTCACTTGCTCGCCCGTCCGTGGGTCCACGATTGCAATATGTGGGTAGTTGTCTTGAACGTCGACACCGGGAAAGTAATATTGGATATATTGCGAACCGCGCGGGTCGTCCTTGGAGTATTGTAGAAAGATGAAATGTTCTTTTACCGTGTCCATGACTCCTTGGTTTTTCCAAAGATCTCTATTTAGGACTTGGCAATCGAAAACAGAGGCGTCCTGAATGTTGACCAGCAGCCACCTCATATTTTCCCGGCCTTCGTCCCGCGCCAGGTCCCAGGGCAGTTTCGACATGATCTCAAAGGGAGGTCGGTACATTTCAGCAAGCATACTGGACTTGCTAGAGGCGTTTGAGGCGCCACCGGTAGCCTCTGCCAAGGATGCGCGATGTGATGACGGATCGTCCTGGTTCCAGATCGATGATGAAATGGGCCTTTGGTTGAAGATACCGGGTCGGCCTAGGTTAAGCTAGATATCAGCCGACGAACAACATATAACTTTACGCACAAAGGGAAAAATTGGGTAAGTGGTGGCATACCTGCTCTAGCTCGCTGCCTAGCCCGCAACTGACTCATCACGGCGTCGTCTAGGCCATCATTGATATCAAACCCCAAATCCACACCAGGCTCGACAAGTGTTTCTGTCGTGCGGGCTAAGGGAGCGCGTACACCGCTTTCATCCGCGGGACCGAAACCCTCAGCACCAGCGTAAAATTCCTCTTGCAAACGGCGGGCCATGGCTTCGTCGTCGTCAAATGTGGAAAGCCCGGCGGGTTGTGGTGTGCGACTGGCAGAGGAAGCTGATTGATGGGATGTCCGTACGGGGATATTCGTGCCTCCTTCATGTGTATAGCTGTAATCATCGTCGGAGTCCAGATGGACGACGCCGTGTTCGTCTTCGTAGCCTGGTGGGCGTGAGGGCCGTGAGGGCCGTGACGACGGAGGAGGAGGAGGAGCAAGGGGAGGAGAACGAGAAACGGGGAATTGAGGCTGCGGAGGAGTGGATTCCGGTTGGATATCAGCACCTCCATTCTCGAAGTACAGCTGCATAGCCGTTTCGAGGTTGCCGTCGGTCAGCTGCAGATACCGGGCAGCAACCTCTGGGGAGGAACCCGTGATCTCGGTGAACCCTGCCACCGCAGCATCCGCCATGGCTGAGGGGGATGTCGGATTTATCTGGATCTATGCGATCTGGGCGTATTTTAAGAGGAGTTGTGGGGCGGATATGAGGGGAATAGGGGAGGATAGAATGTACGAGGTAGGTGGAGGAAGGAGAAGCAACGAGTTAAGAGCAGGCTGCCTGTTTATGGGGAGGGGCATTCAAGGCCCAGGGAAGCAGCACGGAGGAACACAGCAAGAGTAGATGCAGCAAAATTCAGCAGACAAAGGTTCATAAAAGATAGAAAATCGGGAGAATCAAGGCATTGCTGTCTAGTGCGAAGCTTCTAGGGTCTACGGCAGTTGGCAGGAATAAAAAAGGGGGACTGGGAGCTGGTGTGAAGAAATGAAGTTTCACGCATCCGCAAAGATTTGTCTGGTTCTCAGGCAGATGAGCAGTGACGCTATTGTGGATGAATCAGCAGAGGGGACCGGCATCCGGATCATCATTATTCCTTCCGCCCGGGTAAACTTGCAGCAGTTGAATAGTGCATACGGGAGGCGAGAGAGACCAGATACGTTATTATTTATGCACAGCTGAGTCATCGATTTTATCCATAGCTGCCAAAGTGGCTTAAGCAGGTTCCCGTATTCACTTTTTCGCGTGACGGTTTACGACGGGTAGTTGACTATGCTACAGGTAACCTCTGAGCAGATCAAAGAATACCACTGTAGGGGAGTAATTGGGGTCAAAGAACTATATTTCTTTATTCACTCAACTCCAGCCTTCTATGTACTTAATAAGGACAAATGCCCTTCGAGCATCAAGAGGTGCAAACACATCTCCAACAATCCAGAGGCCAGGGTCACGGTCGCGTCTCGTGTCGTGGGGGCCACGCGTGTCCCTCCTCGTGTCCGTCCTTGCGCCCACGCGCCGGGTTGCTTAAGGCGACCACCGCCCACATGTGTGGACGAAGTACCTTTTTGCCCAGAGGTACCTGGGTCGAACTGCCGCGATACTTCCCCCGTCGCCCTCGCTCCCGCTGCTTCAACCACCTGCCTTTAAACCAGCGAGCATTCTTTCTTTGCCCGCAATGGCTTCCTCCGTGCTGGGCAAGAGACTGCGCCATGGTAAGTGCTTTCTTTGGAGCTCTTGCTCCTGTCTTCCCGTCGTGCGTGGGATTTCTGACTTATTTCCCGCGTTCCACCAGACAATTGCTCGACGGCTTCATCGTTGCGCTCCAGCAAACGACGAGCCCAAGCCCCTCCTCAGCCCCGAATACATGAGGAAGAGACCAGCGATGGTGATGGCGATGATGAGCTCTCTATATCGCACTCAACCGGCCGCAGATCGAGACATGGGCGTCGTAGCCTCTCCACCACCGCCAAACCAAGCACCATCCCCTTCCGTAATGTGCCTTCGAAACATACCGTTCCTGACAAGACAGTCGACGAGTCTATCTCATCTCCAAATACCGCCATTGTAGTTGGTAGGTCCTACACCTGGGGGCCCCCTAAACCCCCAACCGCTTTTCCCAGACTGAGTTTGGTTACAACAAAGAGAGGGAAAATTTGCTAACCGAGTCTGAAAAGATGAAAATACGCGCCCGCTCGAATTCACCACTCCCAAAAGACCATCCCGCTACAGAGATGCTCTATCTGTCAATAATACAAAATCCGACTCTCAAGCCGTTCCCGTTACTCCCAGACACCGCGTGCAGGTTTCCTGCTTGGGAAAACCCTTGACACCGCGAACTCCTCGCATGATCGCTTCTCCGGCGACTGCTCAGACGGTCTACACCCCCGCCCGTCAGCTGTTTGCAAGGAGTGCCGCCCCAGGCCGACTTGTGGGCCGGGAGAGTGAACGGCAAGAATTGACCTCGTTCATTCACAATGTGGTCCAATCGCGCCGGGGGGGTTGTATGTACGTAAGCGGTCCGCCTGGCACTGGCAAATCTGCCATGGTGGACGAGGTGTGTCAGGATCTCATGATGGACGTGGATATGGAAAAGGAATCTGTCAAGATCGCCCGCATCAATTGTGCGAGCATGACGAGTTCCAAGGATATCTATGCGAAACTTGCAGATGAGCTGTGCGAGGATCTGCAGCTGTTCAGGAAGAGCCGGACGGAATTGTTGGCGGACATGTTCGTGCAGAAGAAACGCACGAGTTCATCATCTTCTACCACTATATCCCCCACGCTCTACCTCGTCGCGCTCGATGAGATCGACCACCTCCTCACCACCGACGTCGAAACCCTCTACACTCTCTTCGAATGGTCCCTACAGCCCCATTCGCGCCTTGTGTTGATCGGTATCGCCAACGCCCTCGACCTGACGGACAGGTTCCTACCCCGTCTAAAATCCAAGAACATGAAACCACGCCTCCTCCCATTCTTACCCTACACGGCCTCACAGATCGCCGACATCATTTCTACGCGACTCCGCTCCCTACTTCCCGGTTCGAATACCGCTGCAAGTGCAACCACCGTTCCAGAAGATTTCACTCCTTTTCTCCAGCCCGCCGCGATCCAACTCTGCGCGCGGAAGGTAGCCTCCCAGACTGGTGACCTGCGCAAAGCATTCGACATCGTCCGCCGCACCATCGACCTCATCGAGCAGGAAACCAGGCAGAAACAAAATTCCAGCTCTTGCCGGTCACCCACCAAGGCACCCCTGGTCGAGAATGTAAACCTGGCCTCCCCTTTGATTTCGCCGCCGGATACCCCGTCGTCGGCTTTATCCTCCACAGCTAGAGCTACGGCTACAGGACATACGGCCGCCACAGCACCCAGAGCGACGGTCGCGCATGTCGCGCGTGTGACAGCCAGTACGTTTGGGCATGGCACGGTGCAGCGGCTGCAGGGGCTGAATTTGCAGCAGAAGGCGGCACTTTGTGTGCTCATTGTGCTGGGGCGGAGGAAGACGGATTTCGATGACGGGGATAGGAAGAGGGGCATGCACAATGGTACACTGGATACGCCGTCTTCGTCTAAATCTCCGCGGTCAACGACGTCATCCATGGCTGCGGGAGCAGCAGCAGCAGCAGCAGCGCCAACTGTCAATGAGCTGTTCGTCACGTACTCGGCACTGTGTCGCCGGGACAAGATCCTACAGCCCCTTGCAGCAACGGAGTTTAGGGATGTTGTTGGAAGTCTGGAGACGTTGGGTTTGGTCGGGGAGGTGCAGGCGCAGGGACGTGGGCGCGCGTCTACTTCTACTACTAGCAGAGTTGGTGGCAGGTCTATGGGGACCAGTACACCTTCCAAGCCGAAGACACCCACCAGGAGGGCTGGTGCTGGGCCCGGAGCCGATGAGAGAAAGCTTGTTTGTTTTGTTGGTGAGGGGGAGGTTGAGAAGCTTATTTGTGGAGAAGGGGAGGCGATTCTTAGGGGCTTGTTCCGGGCGGAGGCTTAGGGATTATTTAGTGTATTGATGTTGCAATGGTGTTCGTTTTGCTTTGCTTTACTTCGGTTTTCACTTTGCTGTGGCATAGCCTGCATGGTTTGATGAGCTATTTGTTTTCGTGAGGTGTATGTTTACGCAGTATTATTCTTTGCTTGACTTGCATGAGGGGCTTGGAGTTACATTTTGCATTTTTAATTCTTTTTTTATTGTTAATTGTTACGTATTTTGAGAGTTTGTATCACAGACGCTAGTGTTGAGTATTCTTTCTGGTTTAACTGCTCTGTCTGTTGTTTGTATAAATAAAACAAAGCATCGATAGTTATAATAAGATACAAAAATATATCGTTAATTAGACACATCTGGTTAAGAGTTTATTTCCACACGTTTGCATCTTTATCCAGGACGTTTTTATGTCCTTTCCATGCAGTCATCATCGCGAACTTCTCTTATGACGTTTGAAACGTGGGAGAAAAATAAATTGATTCGATTGCCTAACCTCCCGAAGACATAAACTTTGAAATCATTGATCCTAGCCACATAGTTAGGTAGTTATCCGGGATTCAACCCTCGTGAAACAACACACCCCCCACACACCCAAGGCATGGACTGGCGGTACTACAGGCAAGCCCCACCAGATAGCTGGATGGGAAAGGAGAAAGGAGAAAGGAGAAAGGAGACACAAGCAGACAAAAGCCGACCCCGCTGAAAACAAGAACAATAGGGCGCAGCTACGGCTAGCACACGGTAGTAAGGTACATATAGAGGGGCGTCCGCAGATCGCAAGCTCCATTCGTGTTTCGCAGGCATGAATAAAGAGAGAAGAAGAAGCAAGAGAAGAAGAAGCAAGAGAAGAAGAAGCAAGAGAAGGAGGGACAAAGGAAGATATGTAGGGCAGATAGAGAGAACCGACTCATATCATCCACTCGTGAGGAATGAAGGAATGTAGGTATCCATGGGTAATATTTACGTTCACGGCCTCGCACCTCATGTCGTGTGTCGCATTGCACCGTATCACATTACCGCATTAGCCATGGTCTGAATTAGTTGGTTGGTATTGTGGAGAGGAGGGGGGAAGTTGTTGTATCAAACTCTGCGCTTGACGCTATTCCCGCCCCGTGATTCTTACTCGGTCGCGTTTTGGATATGCGTCCGCCGCGATATCTTCATGAACAACCCTGACTGCATCGAGACGCCATAGTTGAAGGTATCCATCGGGTGCGCGGGGTTGAGGATGGCAAAGTCGAAGCGGCGGAATAGCTATGCATGCTCCAAGTTAGTACATCAAGGAGAGGGGATTATATATGAAAAAAGAATCAAGGGACGTTGGTTCGGTATAGAACAGACCTCAACAAGCACCTTGTTGATCTCCAACAACGAGATCGGCTTCCCCAGACATCCCCATTTCCCCTGACCAAACACAAGCTCCACAGTCCTCTCCATCCGACCCAACCGCTCCGTTTCCCCGTCCCTATTCCCCTCCTTGGAATCCGCCCTCTCCAGCCACCGGGCGGGCGAGAAGACCTCCGCATCCTCTCCAAACACCTCCTTGTCCCTCAGCACCGCTCTAGCACTCCATCCCACATTGGTACCCCCTGGGACCTTCACACCACACACCACGGCCTCATGCGGGCATATGCGCGGCATAATCCCTGTGATCGGGGGCCAGAAGCGGAAACACTCCTTGATGCATGCTTGCAGGTACGGGAGGCTGCGGGCTTCGGCCTCCGTGACTGGTGAGGAAATGCTGCCCCGGGAGATCGCGGTATCGATTTCTGAGACGAGAGTTGCGTATGTCCTGGGTGAGGTTGTGAGCAGGAGGAGCGAGATGCGGAGGGTTGTGGCGGTGGTGTCGGAGCCGGCGACGCTGGGCGGGCGAAACGTATTAGTTTTGCTTATTTATTCATGCTCATGCGGACTGTTGGCGGCATATATATATATATATATCTAGATAGAAGGCGGATGCTTACATCTGGACCAGGGATTCCGCTTCAGCGTCCCTCTGGCTGAGGCCATGGGCAACGAACGAACCCAGCATGTCTGGCTTGGTGATTTTGCTATCCCCATATCGCTCTGAAACGACTTCTTTGGCAATACTGCGAGATGGGTAATTTGTATTTCGTTTGTTAGCATGGAGTTACTCATTCCCTGACTTTCCCAACACTTTCCAACAGGTGAAAAAGGTAGACAAACCCCATAACTTTCCCCACGCCAACAACATCCGTATGCGACGGTAAAAATGCCTTGAACAGGCGCGACTGCAACACGTTCACGAGCCACGGCAGCAGCGCAATCATCTGCATGAGCGGCAGCGACTCCTCCGTGGTCTTGATATAATCGAACAGGTCCCCATCTTTGTCCAGGAAGCCAAACGTGCGCCCGAATGCAAGGGTCGAAATCACATCAAGGGTGAGATACTGGACTTTCCGCGCAATGTCGACTGGGCGCAGCTCCGTGTCTGTGGACAGGTACTTGGTCTCGATGAGGCGGATGAATTTAGCGATTTGCTCGTCTACGGATTCGGGCAGAGATTCTATTCCCTTGCCGGAGTACTAAGAGAAGGGAGGGAATGTTCAGCAGCGATCTGAAAAGTTTCCGGCGCCCAGTGTGCAGAGCAGCGGAGGGATCTTACGCCTGGGGCCAGCTTGGATCTTAAAACGGTGTGCAGCGCATTATCGCGCATGGACAGCGTGCAGTCTCTCGGAGGATCGAGCTGGAAACCCTTGTACCAGGGCGAGCGGTCCCACTCTGAGCGAACTCCCCACATCCGCCGCACTTCGGCGGGATTACCGCAGACAACATAATTAGGCGCGACCCGGACAAGCGGTCCTGTGGTTGCATGTATCAAAAGTCAGTCAAAGATGTGACATCAATGGCAAGCTTAGGTTTTGGGATCGGGACAGCGGCGGCCCGGGCAAAACGAATGAAACTCTGTGCGGGTCCAACTTGCAGTGCGATTTCTGGGCCTCATCGAGCCAAGATGCGAGTCTCAAAATTGAGTTGTCCTCTGAATGGGGGATGGTTGAGCCCTACGTACCATGCTGTTGGCACAGGTCACCAAGATCTTCGTACAAGGATCCTGTCCATGCACGCCAGAGGATCCAAATATCAGTCCACCCGCACCATCGCGGTCCTGGGATGTGCCGCAGGCGGTACCAGGTTTGCAGTCGCCGAACGACAAGGTACGCTACGGCAAGCGATGAGACCAGAAGCAACAAAAGCCGCATGACAGACAGGGTTTGCCACTGGAGCAGACTGGGGCACTCTGAGAACAATGAAAATGATGGGGACAGTGGTTTAGTGTGATAACCTTAAGAAGAACGATAGTATTCTTCAGAAGGTTTCCTCGACGAGTCGACGACAATTCGAAAGCTCTTTATGCAAGGTCTAGATGACACTCAGAGCATGCTGCTGACCTTGACCCCTCCTGGCTGGTCAAAGATGGATATCAGGAATCCCCCGTTGGCCCTGTATCCCAACACACGGGCGCCCAATGATCATTTTGTTGAACCATGATCAACGTGGCCACCCCTCCATACAAACCCGGCGTCCTTCGAGACGGCGCCGGGGAACTGGGAAAGCTAGCCGCCTTGGTGTGCATGTCCTCCAATCAATTTAATTTCTCGCTTCCCTCGAACCGGGCTCTGAGAGGGCAACTCGGGGCTTGGATTAGTCCCCGAGTTCAAGACGGCAATTTGGTGGATATGGGACGGCGGCGCCTCTCATCTCCCGTTTCGACCTCAACATCATCTTTTTCTTGTCGGCTCAGCTACACGGGGAATAGTGGTTATTATTCCAGGGCTGTTGCTGTTGTTTGCATGTCTATGCCACAACTATGGCCTCTGACTCTGGGCACACAGTCCATCAGGCGCCCTTGTTGGTATGTAAAATACCTTGGCTTGAGCTTAGGCATACCCACTGAGTTTGATCGACGACTGACCCACCTGTCACATCCGTCAGCTCCCTGATTCCGATGAGGATTCTGCAGTTGCCGTGGTAAGTAGGGTATACCGTGTTGCAGAAAGGCTTGATGTTAAATCATGCTCATCTCCACGTGCATTTAGAACGACGACTTGCTATCTGTTGCATCATTGACATCGAGCGTCCGTGACTTTGTGGTCGAAAATGGACGGACATACCACTCCCTCAGCGTGGGGAGTAAGTCGTTCCTCTGCTCATTACCCCCTACGTATTATACCCAGGAGGTGCTAACAGGAACCCCACAGAGTATATCCTACCTAATGACGAGGTAAGACCGAGAACCTTTTGATTTTTTTTAATTGTTTTTTTACGTGTCCGGGTAACTGAGTAAGGAACTTCCTAACACTTCATATTTCTGCAGGAAGAAAAGGACCGACTAGGTATGCAATGCATACAGTCACGGACATGTCTTGTTATTTAAAAACTGGCTGACATTGTCGGACCAAAAAGATATGCAAAATCACCACTTCCTGGTTACCTTTGGAGGCAAGATGCATTTTGCCCCAGGTGCAGAGTATGCACAGCGTGTCCTAGACGTAGGCACAGGAACTGGTATCTGGGCTATCGATTTTGGTAAGGCGTATCACCGTCTTTCTGTCCATAGACGCTATATCTGAAAGCCTACAAATCCCACTGCTAACCCCCACCTTTAGCCGACGCCCACCCTTCTGCAGAGGTTCGACCACTTCCGTTTGCAATAATACCCCTTTATTTCTTCTCACAAACAGTGAATAACCTTGGTCTAATGTCTTCGTCTCTTCCAAAAGGTGGTTGGTGTCGACCTGAGCCCCATTCAGCCATTCTAGTATGTGATTGTATTATTTCCTTTCTAAACTGTAGAGCATGAATGGCAGACCTTTGAGCTAACCATGTACTGATAGCGTACCCCCAAATTGTTCATTTGAGATCGACGATCTGGAAAAGGACTGGACATGGACGCGGCCATTCGACTACATTTTTAGTCGGATGATGGTTGGCAGTTTTGCAGATTTCTCCCGATTTGCTGACCAGGCATACCGGTATGTCCCTTGATTTCCACTTGTTCTTTTCACTATGATGAACACTGGAACTTTCCCGTCGCTTTCCCCATCACAACTTACCTACTAACCCAATGGCTACTCTCCCATTCGGCAAACACCAAAAAGACACCTGGTCCCTGGCGGCTACCTGGAACTAATAGATTGCATCTTCCCAATGGCCTCGGATGACGGCACCCTTGATACCAGCCCAGCCCTCAAAGAATTCAGCGACCTGCTTCTGCAAGCCAGCATCAACCTCGGCCGGCCCCTGAATGCCGCGAAAAACCATCGCGAAACCCTCATCGATGCAGGCTTCACGAACGTCAACGTCTTAAATTTCAAATGGCCCACTAACCGCTGGCCCAAGGACCGCAAGGATAAGTTGGTGGGTCTGTGGACGCTGGCGAATATCGGCGGCGGGCTTGAAGGGCTCAGTCTCGCGCTGATGACGCGGGGGCTGGGTTGGGAAAAGAACCAGATTCTTGCATATCTGACGTCGGTGAGAAAGGATTTGCATGATCCGAAAATTCATGCGTATTGGCCCATGTGAGTCTCGTGATTCTTACTATTGATATTCAATTCTTCCTTCCTTCCTTTTCCTATGGCATTTGTGGACTAATAACCCGGTTCCTCTGGCCCTCCCCCGGCCGCCGGTGCCTGTTAAAATTTAGTGTTGTCGTTTATGGCCAGAAACCGAAATCGACATCACCGACCCGTTCGACGCATTCGTGATATTGTTTTCCATGTTCATGTCACTTGCCTGTCTGGCCATACTTCTTTCCTCATTCCCTAGCCGATTTACGTAGCGTAGCGGTTATGGCAGTGCAGCCAACCCCCATTTTCCTTCCTATGATGATTTTGAAGTATCACCATATCCTCTTATTCAGCACTGCCGGGAACACCAGGATGAGCAGGAAGTCCAAAAGCGTCCAAAAGCCCTGGAGGTTTTTCTCGAGTCATTTCGTGTATTTGCGGCCGGATATGCGAAATAGTACGATGTGATGAATTACATATGTATATGCAAACATTTTAATTTATATTTATATTTATATTTATTTATTTTTACTTATCTATTGAACGCGTTTGTCTTTGTATGAATTGTTATTGGCTGTGTGTTTATCATGTGTTATGGTTGAAGTATAAATACAGATGTATCTTCCTCACGATTAATTTGCTGTTTGATCTGACATCCGAGATGCATCAATGCCCTCATAACATTCGTCTCCTCCCGCCCCATCCTCAGGTCCCTCCCTAGGGGGATATGAAAAGGTCTCCGAGAGCTTTTACTACTACATACTGGGATCAGCACGCGTATAAATGCCTAGCAGATTCATCCAATCTCACCTCCCATAAGTCCTACATCTACTCAGGCTTAGTCTGTGACTTTTTTTTTTTAAAAAAAAAAAAAGAAAAAAAAAAAAGAAAAGAAAAGAAAAGAAAAAAGAGGGTGTGGTTCGCATAGTAGATGCCGTGCACTGCGGGAATCAAACGCATAGATCTCACTCGTACAGTACATGCGCGGCATGGATAAAAACATCTGTGTACTGGGAAATCGAAACTCCTAACATCTTAAAAAATCACAGGCTCAGGGGTATAGATCGAAGGGGCCTTACGACATTGACACAAAGGGAACAAAGACCTGGTTAATGGCGAGAGCGGAATGAGGTTGGGATATTTTGGGGGGACGCTGGTGGGGATTTCGAATGTGATTGAAAATAGTAAAGGAAGTAAAAAAAGAATAAAGGAAGAAAAAACATATATATAAAATGAAAACCCTAAAGAGACTCGTAGGGACGAAAGGGGGGGAAGGGAAACACGAGAAATCATCATCGGAATCCACAGCGAAGTACATGATACGGAAAGCAAGCCTGATTCGGATATCATCAACCGCCAAAGACGTAGAAAATAATATGAAACGAAAGAGAGAAAACGGAAGGCAAAGAAGACAAAGCGCCCATACATCCACGCAGCAGTCGCTCACCCGCACTCATCGATCCACACGGTGCCACAATTCATCCTCAGATTGACACTACTGACGAACAAATAGACAACGAACAAATGATAGTAAATCCTGAAAATCCCCTAGAGCCCCTGGTCATTTCAATTCGTTAACTACAACTCCACGCACGTAGCGACACTCATCCACACTCACGACACTCCACATAACTACGACTCATTCAAACCTTAGTCATCCATCGGCGCATCCTGCAATGTCACACCGGCAGGTTTCGGAGCTTCGGATGCAACCTTGTCATTCTCTACCACGCTATCGCGCTTTAACCCAGTGATGCGGCTATACCGCCCGCTCGAACGGGATAAGGAATTGCTCTTCTCCATGACGTTGTTGGTAGTACTGGCGGGCGCGTGGGGGTCAGATAATGTGGTGGTCGAGCTAATGCTATCAGTTGCAGTGTGGTCGCCGCCAACGGTGCTAGCGCCGGCGCTGCCATTGGTGGTTATGGAGTCGCGGACTGTTGCGGATGGAATGGTGGGTTTGCCGGTACGATCTGCGGCTGGAGACGAGCCGGCTGAATCTGGGACCTCGAGACTATGGCGAGGTCCTCGGCCCGTGGCAGATGCTGGAGGGCTGCTGACGTTGACAGGGAAGCGGGTTGATTCGCCGCCGATTGATTTATCACGTCTGTGCCGGTTGGCTGGGGCGGGGCTATTGGCACGGCTGCGATCGACGATAGCTCGTTGGCGGGCCTCCATGTTTGCGCGCCGGTTGCTTTCGTCAGTGCTGATGGCGCGGGGTCTCGATCCTGGCCCGAGGCTACCCAAGGTGCTTGATTGGCGCTTCAGTTCGCCAAAAATTTCATCCTTGTGGTCGAAAAGGTCGCGAAGGAGGCGGTAGCTGTGTCGTTCATCCATGGTGAGGTTATTCTCGAGCCGTGGGCGGAGAATACAAGGCGCCATATTTTGTGCTAGGGCTGTAACGTAGGCTTCGTCTGCGGATGTGAGGTCTATCAGGCGAGTAAAGTGAGTAATGATAGCGTCAAGAGTGGCGATGTTGTTCAGGCGGAGCTGTCCAAGAGTACTCTGAAGAACCTTGACGCGACTTTCGGCAGGAGCCTCATTTGTCGTGGTATATACCGTCTTCACGATTTCGTAAACTTGAGACGAAACAAGAGAATCTACAGAATCGATTAGCGTATAGGAAGCTAACATAGGAACGAGCAGTGGGATGGTATATACCAGGGAGTTCAAGAAGATATAATTTCAAAACATTCGCAACAACGGGTATGTCGTATTTTTCTAAAACTTCATGGCTAAATGGCTTTCCATTATTCAAAGCATTGCGTAAATGATGCGAGACGACAAGAGGAACCTCATGCAGCCAAATAGCACGGCGCGCTTCGTCTCCCTCGAGGTCTGGATAGTCTGTGCCAAGGTTAGATGCTGGGGAAGCTTAAAATAAGGGGGTTTGATGATCTTACGATTGTCAAGATAGGTCAAAATAGTTGTAATCAAGATAGGAACACGCTTCCTATCCGCCCGAGCCCTGGCTTCCAGATCTACACCGAAGGTTTGTTCTGTGTTGGAATTCAGTTAGATTAGTTTCTCTATCGCTTCTTTTTATTTTTTTTCTTCGAAATCAATATAAATGGCTAAAAGAGATAATAAATACCGTCAACATTGCCATAATAGTTCTCATAAGGCTGAACGCGGGGCACAAATGCTCCAGTACGATAATTCTCCAACAAATACCTCAGGTCCCCAAGGGGCTGGATAGTCTCTTGATATAGCATCATCTTGTCGACTGTGCTGCGCAGAGACGGAACGACATTGCTAATCGCTCCCGAGAAATCTAACACAACCGCTTTGATAGCCTTCAAGCGATCTAGTTCACAGCGTTCCATGAACTTGAGATAGTCTATCATTTCTTCCTCAAGATGGCATCGTAAGCGGTCGAGTTTTTTCACTGCAGCCTTGTATCGCTCATCGGCTTCCCGGGCTTCGCGTCGAAGCCTTTGGGCGGGGGTCTCATTAGGATTCGAGTTATTAAGTGGGTTCCATTGGGAGAATAAATCAGCAACAGCAACAGCAGTGGGAGAGTCCGCAACCTCGTCACCTCCAGACCCCATCGATGTGACCCGCATCAGCGGCTTCTTTTTCTCAGGAATACCTGAAATCTGGAAGGATTTTGAACGCCACTGGTAATTCATTCTCGAGCTGTTGGCAAAAGTGCTGCCGACGTTTCCAACAAGGCGCAAGAAACCATTGTCCACCAGATCCTGGCCGATTCTTTCCGCATAGCTGATAGTCGACGCACCCATGCTCTTCTGAATAAAGTCCACAATGTCTGCACCAGTGGACGTATTTTGATATGTGCCTAAAATGGGAAACTTAACCTCCCCGAGTTTAATGGATTCCAACATATGAGTCAACAGTTTCTTGAGCTCTTCTGGTGGAAAAATTTTGTCCCCCAGTTCCACCGGTTCGAAGTCTTCTGAAGCATCAGGAAGCACGATGGTTGGTGGATGAGGAGGCGCAGCTTTGGGGCTATCAGCACTCTCCTTTTCGGGGCTTTGAAAAGCCAATTTGTTCTCCTCTTCCAAGTCCTCGACCAAGCGACATTTGTTGAAGTACTGGGTCCTCAGCTTCTTCACGGTCTCTGACTGCTTATAGTGCTCCTTGATCCTGGTCTGGAGCTCTTCTTGGCTGTTGAGGATTCGAAGTTCGTGCTGGTCGGCCCAGCGACCAAAGGGGTTGACGACGAGTTCACGGATACTGTTTGCGATTTTCTGATGATTTTTTGTCGCTTCGATCATTTCGCTGCGGATCCCCTCGTACGCCTACAGAATATTGCATCAGCAGAGGAATTACAGCCCAAAAACAGTTCAGCACACCGACCTTTCGGACACTGGCACCATCATCTCTTGCAAAGCCATTCGTCATGCGATCGATTGCGGGAGCTATTTCGCCGAGTTTTGAGCTGTATTGTTCCTCCGCAGCGGCACGCATGTTGGCAATGGTGAGTATTTGCTGATTCTCCACTATGCCCTGCTGCAACTTGGATATCAGGACACCCAATCCGCTGGCATAGTCGGGAGTCCAGAACGAATCTGCAAAACCCCGCATGATGAAACAAAACAAAAAAAATTAAAAAAAATTGAACGTGACGCTTCGACAGAAGGAGAGTGCTGAAATGGATGGCGGCCGTTTCAGAAATGCGAGTTGCACGAACCTCGGGGTTTTCTATATCTAGTCGTATGAGTCGGCAGAATGGGGTAGGTAGGTAGGGCTAGCAACTGTTCTATTAATAGGGCAAGATCTAACGGCGAAGCCTAACGTAGGGAGTGATTGCGAAATGGCGAGGAAGACCTGACCAGCCTAGAAGCCAGGGCGTCGGTGGTGGAGCACAACAAACCAAAGGAAATCAAGCGAGTGGGAAGAGGTTGTTGTTGGCACCCAGTTGCAGGCGACGAAGGAAGCTAACGGAGATAGGGACGGAGGATGATGAGGAAGGTGAGGATAGGAGAATAGTTATGACGGTGGAAAAAGCGACGAACGGCTGCGAAGCAGAGCAGGAGAGAGAGGGAGAGACAAAGAACGAAGAAAAGACGAGAAGCCAAAAGACAGCCAGGGACTCAAGGGCTGAGGTCAATCTGTCTGCCAGTTTGAGCCTATACGAGGTTGGTTCGCTCTGGGTTCGGGCCTGGAGTCGGCGGCTGATTCGGGCGCAGCAGGGCGCTGACTCAGCGGCGGCTCACCCAGGAGCCACCGTCACGGGGGCGGTGTATTTTACGGGCTATTTTTAACCGCGTTCCCTGGCGGTACCTGAAACGCTGAAACTCTCGAAGCCTGCCGCCCGTCTCCCAACCCCTGGGGCTTGCGCGGATCCAGCCACCGCAAATGGGCAGGCCGCAGCGACCACCTGCGCATTACGGGCCAATCTCGTAACAGCGTGTATTTCAATACCCGACAGTCCCATACACACTCTACCTTACTACTATTCTTGGTGGAATCCTGGTTTACTCACTCCGTGTCAGGTTTTTGCTATCCAGCATATTCGACATCGTGTGGCTCAGTCCCTTTTGGCGGTCTGCTTCAACGCGGTCAACAGTCTGGGGGCTTTGGAGTATCGTAGTTACTATACTCCTTAGCTCTGTTGACGGTTGTGCTTCATACATGGGAGGGCATTCATTCTTCGCCTCTCCAAGGGGGATTGCTTACCCGCATCTCGTCTGCTCGATAGATTGGATTGGGCACGCCGTTCTCACCTAGTCCGCCCTTCATGCTTTCATGGCCTATTGTTCAAGAGCCGTCTTTGCCAGCCGTGGCCAAAAGCCCACAGAAGGTCCATTGCGGAAAAGGACGCCGTTTTCGGGACCATCTCTTATGGCCCCATCCTGTTCATTGATACTACCGTCTTCCGGCATAAAGAACACAATCGGGTGACCGGGTATTGATTTTTTGTGGAAAGCCGCTACATCGCAGGAATTGTTTGTCTGGGAACCTGTTAGGATTATTGGTCCTGGCTTCTCTCCTGGACGATGTCCTCCACTGGCAGTATCATTTCGGGTCGGGTTTACATCTATTCGGAATGGAGGGATCCGGGGAAGAGAGGTATAGCAAACTTCAATCTGCGACATGATGCCCTCTAAACACAGATGCCTTCTCAGAATTACATATCAGGATTGGCTTCATCGCCGCAGAGGACAAAACTACTCCCGTCGATGGCTGGAACAGCAGTTTGAAAGGAACCCGCCCAACGACGCGCCCAACGACGCGCCCACCTTGAAGAGCGGGAGTAGCCTGTCCTCCAATACATTCCCGAAATAACCGGTTGGGCGTCCCATTCATTCACCAAGTTTCCAATTACCATAGATCAAAGCTCAACATACACATCTATCGATGCTCAAAAAGGGGGAGATATATTGTTTTACCCCTTGCTGGCCAAAAACAAACTGGCACTACCAACTCTTTTCCCCCTCCTCTTTCTCTATCATTATCTTGGGCTCTTGCGGAATGCTAGTCTGATCCAAGCCAACTCCGAGAATACCCCTTCTTAAACTGGTAGCGCTGGCATAGCCCTCGCCTTGCCGCTCGCAGTATCCCCGTGCGCTGCGGATCGGATGAGCCCAACGCACTCCTCATCTCCTGTCTAGAGCCACCTGGTTATCATCCAGACGTGCATTAACATCCCCCAAGGCTTTGTTGGGCCAATCAGTCAGTGCCGCCCCCGTCATCGGTAACGTCAAGAAGACAGACCAAGCTGTGGCTAGCGGCTCGGCGGAGATGGGTCGCGATTTGCGTACGTTTGTTCTAGAATAGTAGAGCGGAGAGTGATGTTAATTTTATACTGGGGTAGCTGGTAGTCTTCGAGGTTAAGTTTCTGTTATTTTTCTGGCTCTGCGCTATGTGTAAATGTTTTTGCCACGTCGTTCCCGTCGGGGAAAGTCCATCGCGCAACAGCGTCGATATCCTCATGCCCCTGTCAAGCATTCTGCTCTAGTCTACGAATGGACTCCGCTCACAGATGGAAAGTAGTCTAGAGCGACAGAATATGAACTAATGTATACGAGAGTCATCAGCAGCGGAGAAGAAAAAAATAGTACATAAAGACTTCTCGCGTCCCGCTGCACAGAGGTCCGTTTTAACTTATTTAACTCAACTATACACCCCTCATCCCACAGAGCCATTTCACCATTTCACCATGTCTCCCACGCAAGGTACCGGAGAACACAAGACGCTGGATGTCTTCACGACAAGGAGGCTTCGAATGGAGCGATTGGACGAGTCGCATTTGCAAGGGTATCATTACATATGGTCGAATCCGTCGGCAACAAGGTGGAGGTGTGTAGAAAGCTCTGCCTCAACCCCTCTCTCCTTTTCTTGAATTGTCACGTATGTCCAGTTACATACCTATATGTATGCATGAACTTGTACTCGGACGCTTTGCAATGTTCTGTATATATACACTCTCTCCTTTCTCGCTTGGGTTGCAGGTCGGCGGGGCGCGGGCGTACACATGCGTTAATATTAAATCAACCCAACCCCTCATTCCTTCAATCATACCGCAGAGATAAGAGAGCAAAAGAAGAAGAGAAGAAAAAAAAAGCAATAACAGTAGAACAAGAACAAGAAGAAAGAACAAAAAAACCCCACAATTGATTGCACCACACACAGAAACAAACACCACAAAACCACAAGAATCACAGCTCATACAACTGACACCATTTGTGTTCCCATGTCTTGGTGTCCCCCGCAGCCCCCGCGGCGTCAGCAAATCCCTCGACGACAGCAGAGAGTTCATGTCTGGCGTCCTACGGCAAAACAACCCTCGCGCAGAGATGTTCGCTGTCTACCTCCTCCCCCCATCCTTGCAGCCCATCGAATCGCCCGGCAACGTGGTCTCACCGCCTGCTCCTGTGACGGGCATGATATCATCCACGACGACTCCTGCAGCTGCTTCCACTGCCACCACGACTATTATTGCAGATGATGGTCAGCTGTGCCAGGCCGGCAATGGCGGCATTGATGCTGGTGGAAACCCGCCGATGGCCATGATAGGAGTCGTAGGCACGCATCGCACCGACCCAATCGCGGAGCTGGGTTACATATTCCACCCCTCCGCATGGGGGAAGGGATACGCAACCGAAGCCGTCTCCGCGTTCGTCGACAGGTTCTGGCCGGCGCAGGTGGCGGCGAACGAGATCGAGGCGCAAGTTGATCAGGCGAACGCTGCGTCCGCTCATGTGCTGAGGAAGTGTGGGTTTGATCTTGTTGCGGAGAGGGATGAGGATGGGGAAAGATTGCTTATTTTTAGAACTTTCAGGCCCGCAGGGGGGGAGAGAGGGGTTATATGACGACTTAATGGAATGAAGTCGGTCCCTTTCCCTTCCCTGGCCCGGGCTTGGGGATTGGGTGGTCATTATTTTGTGGGTAGAATCTCTTGTTTGAGTAGTTTGTTGTGGCATCTGATAGATATTGTACTCCGTTGTATATTATATATAGTATATATGCGTGCATGTATATAGTACCTATTAAAGCCGTCACAAACTTCTATATTTGGATCGATAGACCCTTTTTTCCCTTATTGCCGCGTATTGTGCGTGGGCTGGCAGATGAGAAGATGAAAATAATATTAAAAAAAATGAGAAAGTCAAGGGTAGGAAATGCGAAAGAGAGAAATATACAGAAGACTAACTCTGACCAGCGCCGTTCGCAGCTTTGAATGCAACTCGATTATCGTCTTCCACCCCCTCCCCCACCTCTTCTCCAACTCCCACCAGCAGACTCTTCTCTTTCAACGTACAAAATGAACAATATTCCAAAATCTTCGCCATATAGACGTAACGGTTGAATTTCTAGCCTGTAAATCAACTCCCAGAAGTTGAGTAAAAGAAAAAGAAGGGAGGGAAAAATCAGCACACTTGTTTTTGCCGCTTAGGCTGCAAATCGTCCGTAGCATCCAGTTCACGAACCTGTCGTTTCTTTGTCCCGTTCATGCCGCCATTGCTGTTGCTGGCAGGGACAGGGCCTTCTTTCGGAGCAACCCGGCCTGCCGCTGGTTTCGGATTTCCATCGCCAGCTCCTCCGCTGGGCGCTTCTCGCTGGGGCATGTAGTAGTTCTGGCCTAGCATGTGCAACTTTCGCCGATCGGTCTTGTTCGATTTTGTGCGCGGTATTCGATCGACGAGAAGGAAGAGTGTGGGGATTTGTATTTCTGGTAACGTAGCACCGATCGTCTTCTTGATCAATTCGACTTTCGAATATACACTATGATTGTCGTTGATAGTTCGGAAGGTGATTGGTTCGTTGGGGCCGGCTTTGCTGCTTAGGTTCATTGGATTGTCTGCGAGGTAAAGGAAAGCAGTGAGAATGGGACTTTCGACGCCGTCAATGGCGCCGAGTAAGTCGACAACAATGGAGTCCTCCGGTGATAGACATTTCCTTGCAGTGTATTCAACTTCGATGGCGTCAACCCTGCCGCCATCAATCTTCAATAGAGTGTCTTTTCGTCCGACGTAAGTCAGGGTTCCGTCGTGGTTATACTTTACAAGATCGCCAGATCTGTACAGTCTAGCTGAGGATGCTCTCTCGGGATGTAGTTCATGGAGCCATTTTGGCGTATACTGTAAGAAGCCGGCTTCAGACTTTCTGGATATCTGGTCAAGATACCCGCGAGCAAGATGAGGACCTTCCATGATCATTTCTCCGACGGCGCCGACAGGCATGAGGCGCTCCGGAGATGCGGGGGAGACGACCCAGGCAGCGCCTGTTCCGGTGCGTCCGACATTGGTTCCACTGCCAGGGCTCATCTGATCGTTGTACGTGCAAAACGTAGCGACTTCGCCCATGCCATATTGATTAACGAGTTTCACCTTTCCGGCCCATTTCGACAGTAGGTCGTTCGAAGGTGGTTCACCACCGATGCATAGTGTTTTAAGGCCTGGAACATCTTCTGGACCCAACTGAATGGCAACTGTCGGTGTAAGAAAGGATACGTTTGCACGTAAGTCGTTCATATGCTGCTTCAGAACATGGATGGCCTTCTGTGGATGTGGAACGCAGCAACACCCGCCAACGGAAAGTGGTACAAGGTAGTCGTTGTTGCTGATGTCGAAGGCATAGTCGTCAAACTGATACATTCTAGTTCCTGCATCGAGACCAAGGATCCTCGCATAATCTCGAACGGCAGTGGCATAGGTCCGGTGCTCCTGGATAATCCCTTTCGGTTCCCCGGTGCTACCCGAAGTGAACAAAATCAAGCCTGAAGGTTACATCAGCAAACTGAATCTTGGCGCGGTTCAAAGGCTGCTACTCACATGCATTGGTTGGTCGTACAGTGGTACACGCCGGTTCAACCTTTTTCGGAAGACTCAGGATTCCATCCTTGGATAACTCGATGATATTTGGAACCAGGCCTTGGAACTGGTCTGAGAATTCGGCAACAGTGAGCATTATTTTAGCATTGGCGCGTTGGATGACTGAGGTCAAATAAGCTGGTGGGTCAGCTGCATCGATCGAGATATATGCGCCACCGGCTCGAAGGATCGCAAGCCGCGAAACAATAGCCCAAGTTGATTTCTTAAAACAGCTAAGAACGAAGACTTCGGGGCCTACCCCTAGATCAACAAGACGATGGGAAAGTCTTGACGTCAGATCGTCCAGCTCTCCGTAAGTCAAATCACCATCCCACGAAACCACGGCCTGAGCGTCGGGATTAATGTGGCTATGTTCCAGAAACATGTCATGAAGACATCGCTCGTTGGACTCAGAAACATGGCTGGTTAGCTGGGTAATATGTTGTCGATCGTGCGGCGAGCACATGTTGACTTCCTCCACTGTTATATCTGGGGACATCCGTATCGACGATAAGACATGGTCGAACGTGTGTAGAACACTTAACGCAAGTGGGTCAGCGATGGCCTGGCTCGAAAAGACAAGCTCGGCCAACAATCGGCCGTCTCTTGCATCGGTAACGTCGAGGAAAATATCGACCTAGCAAACGATCAGCAGGGGAGGTCAAATGATTGATAGATGTGCTCAGGGTCTTCCAAACGGGAAGTCACCGCAGAAACGTCGACTGAAACCGACCTCGGAATTGATTTCTGAATTTGACGCTGAAGCATTGCGATAGCGAAAGGCAGTTGAGAACATGTCAGTTGAACCCTCAGCATCAGAATTCCCGGTTGCTTGGCGCATTCCCGAGCGCGGCGTTGGGTGGTAGCTAGCTTGTCTAGAACTTGTCGCAAACTGTCGTCCGGTTCGATGATTAATAATTGATCCCCAAACTGGGAGCCCTGCCCAGTCGAGAGCGCCTTCAAACAGGAAATTCCTGAATTTGAATCCCAGTCGAACAGGAGGGAATTGGCAGAGGTGAAACAGGGATGTGGTGAGCGCCCAAGCCAGCTGCATGATCTTGATGTGTTGTCAACACCAGCAGAGTTTCCATTACAGAGAGCCCCACCATCTGTGTCCATCTTCAAGACATGGTGGAGGGTGTCTGGGGCTTCAGACAACACCAGCTCGAGATGACCGGTGTGCGAAGAAGGAATGGACTTCGCAGACTCGCGGGGCAGGGACTTCGAGGAGGATGCATTGCTTTGATAGGGAGAAAAACTCTCGTTTTCATGGATCAATGGAGCCATTGTATAAAAACGAACATTCGATTATTTCCACGGGCGGATAACTATAGCTTCTAGGGTAATGGAAGATGTTTTTATCAAGTTAAAAGGACAGAATTCACAGAATTCACAGAAGGAGAGAAGAAAAGTTTTTCCCGAGGAAAACTCGTCCTTCGGCATAAGCTATATATATAAATCTTGGTCTGCATAGCTTCGTATAGCTTGTTTAAGTAAACCCTCTCAGCAGGGAGCCTGCCACAAGCATGCTGCTCCCGAGAATTCTTCCCGAAAAGCTATCGTCGTCACACACGTCTCTCACATCACCATATGGACCAAGCTTGGCTGGTATGTAAAGGAACTCGAACCTTGGAACCCGAGCTAGACACAAAATTTTTCACAAAATTTCTCAAAAAGAGCCGAATTCCACGGTGCTACGAGCTGAGCAAGTAACGAGCGTCCTCAGCAGCGCCAGGGCCCAGGGGTGGTTCGGTTGAAGCCATGTTTTTGAGAGCTGCCTGCACAGCAGAAAAACAAACCAAAGAATGCGGTCTCTCCTGGCGAACCCATTGGCTGGCCGGCTCTGGCTGTATTGTGCGTCGACTGCAAGCATCTTCAGCCAGTGAACCCATCGGCGCAGACGCCATCTCCGGGTGGATTCTGCGCCATGATTCCCATGAGCAGCGTTCGCCCAAAGATTGAGGTTTGCCAACACGGCTGGGCGGCGGCGATCGCACATCGGCTCGACTTGGGGCTGGCTGGAACATCTAATTTCCGGGCATGGGCACGCCGGATCGGGATGGCCGCTAGCCCCGATATGAACTAGTGTCTCGATTGTATCGCCCACTCAGAACCCTTTCCACGGTCGGCGACACCAGTCCAGGTCTGGACTAGTGTGGCTGCGAATCCCCACCTCTCGGCCCGGGTTCTGCTGCACGCTAGTCCACAAACGGGACTAGCGTTCGCATAACCGAAAACCTTCAGCCGACCGCAAAACTCCACGTCGTCTTACTGCGGAGATCGGAGGCTGAAAAATCCTCACCATCTCACTGACAACGCAAAGCGCCGTTGTTGAAGACAGCGGGGCGGAAGGCTGGGGCGCAGCTTGGATGCTTGATTGTCTTTGGAGTCCCTTGCGACTTGACGAATGTAACACGATTGTCCTCCCACGCAAGAAATTGCGTCTTTATCCCACTGGGATTCGACATGTTCGTTCATCAAAGAATCAATAATAATGAAATCGAGATTCATGCGGGTTCCGCCGCCACAGGCCATTGATCATCCATTGATTTGCGAAACTAGTGAGGGTTCTGAAGAAATACTTCCTGCCACACCTGGTTTTGCACAGTCCGCGCTGTACTCTTCTTGTCACTCGTTGAGATGTGTCCCGGCGGTTTCACTGGCTAGTTCTGATCTCACCCGCTAACTGAGCCGTGCCAGTGCCGGGATCTGCCCTCCAACCCCACATCCGGGGGGTAATATTTTTCTTTCTTCCCTTTCATACACTGTAGTTTTATGCTTTTAGCCCGAATCGGTGGGGACGGGAGCTCCGTCCAGAGATCTGAAGAGGCAGGCTTCCTGTACGTAGGGAGACCATGCAAAATCCCTGGAAAAATACTCTTATACTACCTGGGAACTACTGACGAGATTCATGACTACTTCATTTTTCAAACGGCTAACAAGTATTCCGCACTATCCAATGGGCAATCGACAAGATTGGGCCAAAAAGAGAAAAGCACGCAAGCAGAATCAGAACTAGCTAACTAACTAACTTTTTACTCCGTAGACCAGAAACGATTATGCAACCAAAATCAAATTTCCTTCGCCTGGGCCTCCATAAAATTTGAACCTAATGCGCCACGCCGTTGGCTCTGGTTTCCCCATGTCCATTTGTGAGAGGGCGATCGGCAAATTTTGTCCGTGTTTGGGCAAGAAGCTTTGCTCCCCACTTCTCTGCACAGGCTGGGGCAATTGTTCCCCAAAATTTTGGCACCAATTCCGCAGCTTGCATAATCATCTCGAAACTGCGGAATGCCCTTTGTGCATGTGTCTTGGGGACATCTGCATCTGGCCGCTCGAGCGACCTGCTGAATACCTCCATTGACAATGGGCCCTCATACCCGGCCGCGAGGATAGCTGCCGTAATTAGTTCAACTGGCATGTAGGCTCCCCGCTCCTCCTCCATGGGGAACAGCCGGAAGTTTCGCGACCAAGGTAGTAGCTGTGGTGCATCTGGATTTTGGTATCGAGTCAGGTTTAACGTTGCGGTGTCTATCAGCTCCGCGTCTGCGATTTGGAGCAGAAATATCTTCTCCGCGGGCACTGAAGCCACCATAGACGCGATGGATGAGCAGAGAACGTCTAACGATTCTTCCAGTGTGGGGTAGATTCGACCGTGGCCCTCTTTGTTGTATGGGTCGGCGAACTCGACTGCGAGCCAGTTGAATGAATCAACGATCAGGCCCACGTTTGGCCGGTTAGCTGCACGGACTACCTCCCATGTGGATGACCAAGTGTTCCGTAGTGCCCATGAAAGGCCCTCATACCCAATCTTGATCATTGGGCCTCCATCTTGTCTGGCAAACGCCGCTGCCATATCCCCAAGTTCTCGCAGGTCGTTCGCAACGGTTTTAAGCTCGATCGTGCTATTTTCCGCTCCGATATTCGAGACGAGGAATAGCATATCCGTATCGAATGCCCGCAGGAAAGGGAATCGATTCACCAC